TCAACTTGCTGTCAGCCATGAAGCACTCATCATGAGCCACTCATCCCACAACAATCAACTTGCTGTCAGCCATGAAGCACTCATCATGAGCCACTCATCCCACAACAATCAACTTGCTGTCAGCCATGAAGCACTCATCATGAGCCACTCATCCCACAACAATCAACTTGCTGTCAGCCATGAAGCACTCATCATGGGCCACTCATCCCACAACAATCAACTTGCTGTCAGCCATGAAGCACTCATCATGGGCCACTCATCCCACAACAATCACCTTGCACTCAAAAAGTACGGTACCCAAGCTGTATTACACTATTTCGAATATTACACAATGGAGTCTCAGAGTGATTTAAGTTGAGAGGCTGTTTGAGAGCAGAGTGAGTTGCTGCTATACAAGAGGAAGCTACAGAAATCGCTACCCCCACCCCTTTTTTTTTTTTTTAAACTATCATGAAACAAAATCATTTTCCCTGTGCCATATGGAGCGTCAAGAAAGACAGCTGTCAAGAGCTTAAACCAACACCGCTAACCACTTCGTGCTAGAGTTGACTTAGTTTAGCATTTTTTCTTCTTCAACTTCAAATCACCTTTATACCTTTGCTTTGTTGAGTCATGTAAGTGGCCTTTGTAAAACCCTTTACTAACTGCAGGGCAGCAGTTGCTGGATTTAGTGCACCCTGTTTTTGTCACAGTAGTCCCACCATATCTGGTGGGCGTTCCCCGATCCCCCACCAGGGGAGGCACCCGATGGGAGGTCAGCCACATAAATATAAGACTAAGACAAATCGTGATGTAAAATTTCAACTTCATAGGGCTTGTTCTAGAGACAGTTTTGAGTGTATGATGTTTGATTTCAGTCCAGTTCAAAAGAATCTATAAAATGAATTGCTAAAGAAGAAAAAAATGAAGATAAATTTCTGTCAAAGACTTTTATTTCTGTTGAAAGGAATGTATAACCATTAAATAAAGTACACTATCACCACATTGAATGGGGTAGAACAATCATATGAAAAGATTTTAGCTTTCTTAAAAAACTGGTAAATTTCACATACCGGTAAATGAAAATTTAGAGTGTCCGGACATAGATCAAGTGATCAAGAGTTAATTAAGAAAAGATAGGTAACATGTATATTTCATCTACAAGAAATTTAGTTTTATTACAACAATGTATCTTCGTGATTATAACTTTTTATAAACTACATTTTGTTAATAAATAATTATATGAGTTTAAAATTTCAAAGAACAACTTGTTAAAAAATGTAATAATATCTTGAATAAATATAATGGAAAAACAATAACTAGAAAAAAGTCTCTTAAATTTTATTTCTTTGCTGGGTTAACTTAATCCAACTGACCAATTTCAAAGAGTTTAAAAAAAAAAAAAAAAAAAAAAAAAAAAAAAAAAAGGAAAAAAAAAAAAAAAAAAAAAGTTTTTTAAATTTTTTTTTTTTGGTGGGTTAAAATAAACCAAATGACCAATTTCAAAAAATTTAAAAAAAAAAAAAAAAAAAAAAAAAAGGAAAAGAACTTCTTTATACCTTAAAAAAGTAAAAAAAAAAAAAAAAAAAAAAAAAAAAAGGAAAAGAACTTCTTTATACCTTGGACCAACATGTGTTTGATGTAAGATGAGCCAAACTAACACATTATTTGATTAGAAAGAAAACAATATAAAAACTTCAGACCCTCTTCATTATAATAGCACCATCACAGAGTTTTTGGGGGGATACATGTTGTCACTGTTTGTATGGAATAACAATGAGAGACACATTTGGTTGCATCAAGTGAGAATGAGATAATACAGAATCAAAGTTACAAGTGTTGAAAAACCTACATGGATTAGACATTATAACATTTCTTGAATGCTAGTAATCATATCATATACAGAAAAACCTAGAAAAATGTATTGGTACAAAAACAAAATATTTATCAAGTTAAATTATCAGGATTTCCCATTTGAATAGGAGAAATTGTTAAAAATCATCGTTAGATCTTTGTTTTGTAATTAGTCCATGTCAAATACACCCAGTAAAGCACAGTTCTCCAAAGTATCCTCCCACTGCAGCTCTTGACATCTACTCAGCACCCTGGTTTACAACTATAGTTTTTCCTTTAGGATCATCATAGCGATCCATGATGGAAAGATTGAGAACCATTATAGTCCCAAAGAAAAGAATAGCTAGCAGAAATGCTGATGAAAAGAGGGCCATCCATATTCCAGTGGTGAAATAGGGGACACAGTCTTGGGGATGAAAGAAGTAATCACCTGGGACGTTGAACGGCTGGATCTGGAGAGTAACAATAAATGCTTCTATAATATCCACAAAAGAAAAAAAGAAAAGAGAATACCATGGGGAAATCATGCATGAGAGGTGAAGGGAAAACATGAGATTTATAAAAGTTTTTAAGGTACAAAGTTTGATATGTTAATCCTTCAATAATATCCTATAAATTCTAATCCTTACAACCAAGCAAGGAGGTCAACGCACTGTGCCAGCAATATAGTGTTAATAAAATTATTGTAAAGAATCAAATATTCTAAAGGGTAAAATTTCTTTTATCAGCATTTATTAGCTTTAAAAAAAATATAATTCAAAGCAAAACATAAATTTGTAAATGTCACATCAGAAAATAATTTTAAGATTTTAAGGGAAAGAAGAAGATTTTATTTATTCATATATAAAAAAAAAGAAGCTACATCATCAATTTTTAAACAACAAACCTGGAAGCTGCTTAACGTTATAAAGGTGCCTTTATATTCTTTAAGGTCTTTCTGACGCACTTCATCAACATACATGGTCAATTCTGTGCAGTGAAAGGAATAAGGGAAAGGCACAGTCAAGTCCAATGTGTCACGATTCAATGTGGCATTTTCCAGTGAGGTATTCATGTCATGACGATTCAAAGCTGTCAGATTCAATGTCACAGATGTCATAACCCAACGATCTGGAAAATTCACTACATCCATGCTGAAATTTAAACAAATTACTTTCAAAGGTATAAATATAAAAAAAAAAAAAAAAAAAAAAAAAAAAAAAAAAAAAAAAAAAAAAAAAAAAAAAAAAAAAAAAAAAAAAAAAAAAAAAAAAAAAAAAAAAAAAAAAAAAAAAAAAAAAAAAAAAAAAAAATAAAAAAAAAAATAAAAAAAAAAAAAAAAAAAAAAAAAAAAAAAAAAAAAAAAAAAAAAAAAAAAAGAATGACTGACGTTATGGTGTACTGGGGGCATAACTGCCACATAACCTACCAGGGTTATCCACAGCTATGGGGTCTGGGTTAAATATAGGCTAAATGAATCTAAACCACTTGTCCTAAGAATACAGATACTATCAATGATATTCAGAAACACAAAAATTTAAAAGAAAGGTATTAACAATACAAAAAAACCAAACAATTTTATAAACAGAAATAAAAACAGTCTTCCAATTTCATTGCTTTATGTAAACAATGTTAAAATATGTTATAATAATAAATATTTTTATTTTACTTACATAATTCTCACATCATAGATGTCATCACCAGAAGTTACGTTTGCAAATAATAATATGACACTGAAAAAAAAAAAAAACATCTTTCAAAATGATCACCAAGTTGCATACACATGCATATATTATATTAAAATTCCACTCTGGAAAATACTAATAAAAAAGTTCAGCTTTGCCAGTGGAACTTTCCCCCCCACCATATTATATAAAAACTAATTATATGTTTTATTAAAATATTTTGCCATCTGTCAAAAAATATATTAAAAAAAAAAAAAATTAGTTGCATGTGGTTGGTTGTAATGTATAAAATGAGAGACTTACGTAGCTGTATCGTTACCCCCATATGACTCAGATGCCGTTGTTTCAGTTGGGCTTAGGGTTAAATTCAAACTACACGTGGGACCGCTCAAAGTGGTTGAATTTTTCACGCAAAGCTGGCCTTCTCGCATAAATACATACATTAGGCCTCCATCGCTCCGTGAGACATTCATAAAAGTGCCATTGACATTTGATGGTTCTGCCGAAACCTCCAGCAGATGCCTATTGTTGTATGACACAATAGTGTCTGCCTGCAGAGAGAGATTCAGGAAATATCAACTGTGGGACAATAACAGGGATAAATCAATGCAGTACTGCAATATAGGAAACCTGTCAATTTAAGAAGTCAAATCCATTATTTTAAACAAGCATGCACGGGAAAAAAAAGTAATTAACAATAAAAGCAAGGCCAAAAGCAGAGTTCGCAATGATGAATATCTGAGATAACAGCTAACTGTAAAAAAAAGTGTTGTCTAGTGCAAAGTTTAGGCAGTGATGAAATGCATAGAAAAATAAACCAGAACTTAATTTGAGAGGATTGCAAAGTGTTATAGTATTGTAACTGAAAGAGGCTATACATTATCATGTAAAACTGACATCCTTCTTGGTTGTGTGCTCAAATGACACTGCTTTGAATTTACCTTCTAGAAAACTGTAAACAAATCCTAATTGCATAATAGTGAAACAATTGATTTTTTGACACTCAAATGAGCCCTCAACATGCTGACAGGACAAACAATATTACATTTGATTCAGAAGATTATCAAGAAATGGTCGCTAATTCCAACAATTAGCTGGCTTACCATGGCATCGCCAGCTGATTCTCCAGTGAACAAAGCTGTGTATTTGATGTTCCTTTCTTGAAGATAAGCGGAAACAGCACCAATTGTTTCATCTAGATTCAGGAAATGAAATGTAAAATTGAGATTACTACAACACTAAAAAAAAACATTTTTAAGAACTTTTGTTATAATTGATCTGCCAAGTTATTGGAAAAATAATTTAATAAATAAATCATCCTGAATATATTTTACCATTTTTTGCAATAGAAGTTTCCTGCTCCTCATCATGTATTGGTTTTAAATGAATAATTAGAAGGAAAGGGTTTTGGGTGTTGAGGTCAAGGTTTTCTACATCTTCAACTGAGTTTGCTGTATAAACATCCTTGTAAAAAGATTTTAACTTTTTAAGAACCAGATTTGGATCCACCACTTTTGGAAATTCCAGGGAAAAATGATTGTCCATTAGGTGCTGAAAAAAATTAATTAAACAAATAAATTGATATATTAAATAGACATACTAAATAACCAGTACTCTTTATGTTCACTTGCAATGACTGAAACATTCAATTTAAGAACTCAAGTCATTATTTTAAAAATGCACAAAAATATTTCTAAGAAGGACTTAACAATAAGGTATGAATATATGAAACAATTAGGTTCAATCAAAATCATACCTTAATATTCTTGAAGGAACCTCCATCACTTTTAAGAGAATATACATCAGCAAATTTAGTAAAATCATCAACATGAAGCTGTTCATAAAGAAAACAAATTAAATATTTTTAGTCAAGGATAAATTAGGGTCTTGAATGTTTTGCTTCTGATTTGGTGTCAAGTGTTTACAATTTATTTCCAAATTAAAGAAATATATAATTTCATATACAATACTAAATATTGATATCTTGTTAAAATTTTTTAATCAGCACAAAGAATTTAACATAAAAAGTGTAAGATTAATTTTTTAGAATTATTTGCCATTTATCTTTGATTGAATACAGAAAAGTGATGAATACCTTATTTTGAAGAAAAATCACTGCACTCTCTGTGGGAGTCTTCATTAAAGGATCAAGATATGTGTTCAGAAAGTCATCACTTTTCAGCGCTTCATGTGCCCTTACTTCAGGCAGGTGGCTCAGCGACCTGAATATGTAAAAAAAAGAACAGTTCCTTTTTAAATATGTTTGTAGATTATGCGTTCACTAATTAAATTCAATTGATATGCAAGATAAAATAAAAATGGATTAAATAATCTTGTTAATTACTGAGCTCAAACACAAAATAATAAATATCTTAATTTTAGCACACAATATTTAAATAGCTTTTAAAAATAATCTAATGTGGTTTAGAATTAACATTTTGTATTAAATAATCTTAAGTTGAAAACTTGAGGGAAAAAACAAAAAAACAACAAACTAAATGCAGTAGAAAAGTCTTTAAACGCTTATTTAAATTTAATACTTAAACCTAGTTTTTGCCAGTGAAAGTTTAATTTCTTAGGATGCTTTCCCCGTAAACCTGACACAAAAATCTATATGCCTGCTTTAAAGTGTTTTGATTTGTGTGGTCACTAAAATATGTATCAAACTTTGAGGGACATTAAAAATGATAAAAAATCATTTAAGAAACATTTAAAGACTTTTTTTATTTAAATAGAATTAAGAACATTAGAGAGCTGTGAGCATGCTAAAGTAGCATGGATGCAAGTCACGAAGTGCTATATAAATATTCAATTCAATTCAAAGTGTTTTTAATCCCATTAATTTGTTTTTTCCCCTCCCTGCAATCCATTATTGCCACAACTGCTATTAAAAATGTGATGTATTTTCACATGTTTCCTCACTAACTTTTGACTATACATTTTTGTGCTATCAACTACTAAATTCTTTCCAATCAAAAAATGTTTGGACTATTATAATTTTTTGTTGCATTTTTCTCTTAAGCATACTTTACTTAAACACTTCCATTATTTTTTCATATATATTTTCTATTGCCTTTGCATTACATACAACTCTTTCTCCCCCAACATGCAAAAATGTTGAAATTATTTTTATTTTATGTGGCATTAGTAATTGTAAGTTTCATGCCGTCAGAAAAAAAATAATTTAAAGTGCGGAGTGGTAGACTTATGGAGATTTTAATAATTTTCTCTAGGTACATTGATTCAATTATAAAAAAATATGTTCTCCAAAAAAGTAATGATCCCAAGTCACCATAAGTCCTCAAGCTGTGCACTAGATTGGGTCACAAGTTTGCGTTTGTACAATACAATCCTGTTCTTATGATACAATCCTAACAGTTTCACACTAACAATTTGAGATTGTCATAATTTTTAAGATTGTAGCAGCAGTTGAAATGTGGTCTGCACTTACACAAACATGTTAATTGATACTTATAGTTACGTATTATACATCCATGCTGAAACAAGGTGACCATCTATTTCTTTCCAAGTGGGAGACATCTATTTTCGGAAATGTTCAGTGAGGTTTGAAACATGAAGCCAGTAACTAATGCATTATACTGTATGTTTATAGGTTTTTAATAGGTAAAACCACTGATGAAAACAATAGAACTAGGTCCCAAAATGTAGGGGTGCAGTACATTAATAAAGAACAAATGAACTAGCATACAACAAAAAAATAAAAGCTCTACCCAAAACTTAGTAAGGTACTGTGCTCTGAAATCTTTTTCACCAACTATTCACATATTTTAGGCTCTTCTCAGAACTTCACTGGACACCCCAAAGTGAAAAAGGTACAAAATAATAGTTGTTTTATATTATTATTAGGTTCAAAGGCCGATAATCTACTCCAATTCACTCATTTAAAATAAAAAAATTTCTACATTAATAAATTCAATGGTAGAAAAATTTAGAACATTTTCAATGGCTCATTCCATTATTGTGGCCATGTACAATACAATTGACACTTTCTGTTTCTCCGTTTTGCAGACAACAGGGTATTTATAACATTATAAACTTAACGTAATTCTAATAAATGTCTATAATTGCATTGAGCAGTTTTAAAAAAAAACACTCTTGAAATTATACGAGGCAAGGAGGTTATCACAGGTCATCAGTTTCTTTTTTTGCATAAAAGATAACAGAGATACAATAAAGTTGTTTGCTCAATTTAGCACTCAGCACTAATTTTTGTAGATGAATACCATAATTTTATGACAAAATATTCCTTTCATCAATGAAATAGCAACAAGGTCCAAAAATAGTAGGTACTTTGACAGGAATTTGTAAATATTGGCCTATTGCCATAAATCAACATCATTTTAAAGGGCTAGCTATAAGCTTTTCAAAAACACCAATTTAATATTTCTATCTTTTATAGAAATAAAGTAATGATTTTTTTGGTGGTTTTTTTTTTAATTTTTATACCCCCTTATTTATCTTTGCTGTGAAAACTTGTGACCGACTTTCCAAATATCTGCTTTCAGGAGACACTGGAAATGCAATATACAACACAATGAACAACAATACTTGTATATAACATCAGGACTTTGTATTGTGGATAATTTTATTTGAGGGTATGTTATGAAAAATGTGAACAAAAAAATTAGAGGGTAACTGGAATGTTCCGCTTGTCATTTTCTATTCAGACTGCTCTACATACTTCTTGGTCTTATTTAATGAATCCCACATAAACTTTGTCTTTGCCATCTACATCCAAACATGTCTAAATGTGGACCAATGGAAGAAATTCCACTAAGTTCCTCAATAGAGAATTAAAGATTTTTCTTGTATCAGAATCAACCTAGAAAAAATATCTAATTATTAATTAAACACATTATTAAATTTAAAAATACTAATTTAAATTTAAATAAGGCCTTCTGTTGTAATAAAATAGTATTAGTAGTATATTAGTATTACTTTATTATTATTAGTTATAGTTCAGCAGTTCAGCACTTAAATTTTAACTTAAACTTAATAGCTATGATTAGGCCTATAAATTATAGTTAAATATTGTAGTTGTAGGTCTAGAAATATAGGTGGAAGCAAACTTAAATTAATTTTTTTTTAATATATTCAATTTATGTATTCTAAAATTACAATTTACCTAGATGTATTCAGATATTTAAAGATTACAGAAAATTAAAACTTATTGATTGTTATTGCGATCGAATTTTGTTTGCTGTGACGATTACCAAAAAAAGGGGCAAAATTTATTTTTTTCCCTCCTTTGAAGGGAGGGAGATGACAATCTGAAAGGGAAAATGACTATTTCAAATTTATTCCCCATCAAATTTAGATGCTAAAGAGCTTTCTTTACGTTCCATTGTAATGTAATCAGTAATAAATGAGCATTTAAGCATTTTTTCAAATGGTCAAAGTGACATAACAAAAAAAAGAGATGTTCACCTCATGGGAAAATTGTATGCGCTTCACTGTAAGAGATATATTTTACATTATCCATTACAAAACTAATTTAACATTAGAACATCAACGCAAAACGCATAAATCCTTGTTCCAAGTAGAAGCGAATGTGAGATGATCACTCAAGTTTTTGCGTCCTTTTTTCAATTTGCTCAGACCGTATGTATTGTGTGAGAGTGAGCAATGTGATATCTAAAAATAGGGTCACAAAATTTGGTGCAGTCCATGTCCCATGACCAGTACATTTTTAGTCATTACCAAATTTTTTTTTGCATCTGGGGAATGTATTGATCTACATGTATGCTAATTTTCACAGCGATAAGTGTCTTACGAGAGACTCCATGTTTCTACGCGTTCGCAGCAGGTCATGCAGTTCGCTCAACCTAATTTCGCCATGGGGTGGGCCACGCCCCCATTTTTAATGGCGGAAGTTGCCGATACTTAGGAAATATTAATTTATTACCACTATTTACATCAAAATATTTGATAACTTGTGTTTCAGAATGCATTTTGAAGACATTAAAACTGGAATGTTTTAATTTGAGCTTTAAAAACCCGGTAGAATCCATATTATAAATGATCAGAATTTACCGTGTGCAACACGTTGTCATTGGCAACCATTCACAGCCACTTGCATTATGGCTGTATCGTAGTACTACCTCAGAGTTTCATTCATAAGAGTTTGCCGTGTGCAAAAACTACTATACCATTGGTCAGGGAAAGCTTTAATTAATTATTCATGTGCCAAAGTTAAAAGTTTAAACTAAGTCGACCCTAAACAGTATTTTAGTGATAAGGCGATGCGTTGCCTTATATAAAGTATATAGTCATTGCGCATGACGCGAGCACCGGAATGAGGTCACAAGATGTGGAGGTTTCGTCCATAGTAAAAAAAATACCCAAACAAACTCACACTTTAAAAAAAAAAAAGTACTTATGCTAAAAAGGTGATTCTGGTTTAATCTTTTTATTTGAAATTTGCTCTAATTAAGTTTTTATTAAAAAAATTATTTCAATTTTAAAATTTTGTATTCAAGTACCTAGAGGGGTAAAAAGGTCTGGACATAGGAAAAAATAAACGTTTCTGTCAAAGTACCTAAATGATGATAAAGAATAAAGATTCAAAGAATTAAAGTCAAATAAGGTCTGAACGAAGAGTGATGAGTACAGAGTAAAGTAGTAGTCTAAGTAGTAGTAAAGTAGCAATTAATAATTAAAACTTGGTGATGACTGAAGACAAACTATTTCTTCACTTACCTTTCTGGTGACCACATTAAAACTGGTACTGTAAGCTCACTTGCACGGGCATGATAGAGGGTTAAGATAAAGATAAATAGTTGCATAAGCATGAACATTTTTACAAATCAGTTTTAATAACACAGCTCCAAATTCTTGTGAGAGTTATTTCTTTTTGTTAGAAGCCGGAAATCTTGTGATAAATTATAAACCGGAAGACCATATGATCCTTTAAAAATGCAATTAGTTTTAGTGAATTGCCAGTTTTGATTTGTTAATATTACAACTTAACTGGAAGGAAAAATCAAGAATGATTCGAATAATTGTCTCTCATATATACACTCATTGATTAAGATTAAGAAAGAAATATGGAAGTTAAGAAATGTATGAGCGTTAAAGACAGTGACGTAGGAAGGATCGTGTGGAGGGGACGGTCCGCCCCGGGCGGCATTTTCGGAAAACTACATACTACATACCATTTTCGTGGAAGTGGGTAGCAAATATCTTTGCCCACCCCGGGTGGCATTAACACTAGCTACAATTCTGTTTGAAGTCAATTTTTGAAATTAAACTGAACAATTATGTTCTTACGCTCGTTTGACAATCTATTTAACTTGAATAAAACTAATAAAAAGGAAATAAAAGGAGATCAATGTTTAATTTGCATTGACAGCCAATCAAACTGTCAAACATTTTTTTAAACCATTATGAGTGATTATGGTACTCTCATGGACCTCTGAAATAAAAATATAATATATTTGTTTATATGTAGGGTATTGCAGGTAGGGCAAACGCCTTGGTTACCACATGAAGGGGTGTCATAAAGATTAATTCATACTATTTCAATAGCTATTCACAACTCTCTCAGAGTTTACACTGTTAAAATTACACACTTTAATAGTATACACCCAGAATATTAGTATATCATTTGAATTTTTCTTGCAATGCGGTGAACGGTTTTCCTTATTATGCACTACAAAGTCTTTAAAAGTAGCCCCAAAGTTGAGCACTAGCTGATACGAATTAGAAACAGTTTCCGCCACACCCCCGACATGTGCTCAAAATACCTTAGGTGCACCACTGCCCTGATTAAATCAATATTTATAAAACTATAAATTTTTATCTAGCCTTTAAACACGCCCATGAAAATAAATTTTAACAAACTGATGCCCTTTTTTAAAGCTACAGAAGCCATTCAATATAATTTTTATTACATATTAGTTGTTTTTATTGGTTATTTCTAATACTTTATTTTAATCACATGTATTGTAAATATTTAGCCCATCTGTCAAGCTTGTTACTCAACCTTTTCTAAATTCTGCAAGTATATTAATTGATTGGCAGTCTAGCATTCTCTTCAGACAAAAATGAGGATGGGTACATGAGTCAGAAAAAAAGCCAATATGTATGAAAGATAAGGAATGGATTGAAAACCACTAATAATCATGTTTTCTTAGAACCCTTGAAATGCCCTCTCGCATCACAGGTTGGGAAACCCTGATTTTGATACAAATTAACTATACTTCATGCTATAAGCATATTATATAAACATTTTCCTATTAAATGTTTACTACTTGTAAACTTATATTTTCTAAGCATGAGAATGTTTCCTTTTTTAATTTTTTTTTTTGTATCTAAAATTCATACTCACGTCTTGGCAAATAAAATTGTCTGAAATTTTGACCATCCTGGGACTTTACACAGTATAGCTTGAAAACTCTGGCCAAGTTTCTTGTAACTTCCTTTTGAGCCCTCACATTTGCAATCATGGGTAGGTTTTTTCTCACGTGTTGCTAAAAAAATGTCCAAAAGTGTTTTTCGATGATAAATGTATGCTATAATTTTTATGAGCTATTAAAAGAAAGATAGTAACATTCTATAAACATACCAATATGATCCGGGAAAGCGGTTGCCAAAAGAAAATGGTAACACTGGTGTGGAAAGAAAAAAAAACCTTTTGTCGATAAGACTAAAAGAGTAAAATTGTGTTCTCTAGGCTAGAAAAAGTGTATTGTATACTAATAAAATCAGGGTTTTATGAAATGCTACTGGGCCTTTGGGATACTATCCAATAGTATATTATTTCTCTAAGTGACGTTAGGCCTAAACATTTATCAAATATAATTTACAGGGTTGTGCCTGGCTAACTGCTAATGCTGAATTTTTCCAGCATCACATTTATTTTGCTATACTGAATACTGTAGTAAACTATTATACATTATACAATACTAATACTATTCTCTTATTCTGGTTACCCTACTTTGTCCGTGTGACTCTGGGTAACTTGGACTTATCACTTCATGGTGCAGCTATTTGAATTGGTCTTGGTGGCATTACTTAAGAATTAACTTTCCCTAGAATAGTCAATGACAATATTAGTAGGTAGTTCGGTAAGATCCGGGAAGTGCCGAAAACCGGGTATCGTGATTTCGTTGTCAAAATGGCGACCTCCACTTTTTAATTTACAGAGAGTCACGTTGTTTACGACTTTTTAACTATATATAGCCCAGCATGTTAATTCTATTTCCGCCCACAACTTAGAGTAGACATGTTGTGTTATGATTAGACACTTGAGTCCCTCAAAAAATTTTGGGGCTTCACTTTGAAAATTGAAGGTAAAATAACGCAATTTTTACTCATTCATATTTTTTGTGTGGAAAGGAACCTTTCTTTGAATTTAAAGGACTATATAATATAAATAATGGCATTAACTACAACATATCCAAGACCTGTTAATTTAGGCCCATCAGTTTGGTCAGAAATTTCCTCGGAAATTTTATTCACGTGTGTCCCAAAATTACCTATTATCGTTAATATTCGTTGCTATGGTAAATAACCTGATTTACTCTGGAAATCCAGCCTATTACCCCCTAATAACTTATTTAGAAATAAAAATAAAATAATTAATAAAACAAATACATATTTTTAATATGATTTGATGCTTTTATTGAGGGATATTAGGTTAAAAAAGCCTAATTAATTACAATTCATAGTTAACTATTAGTTTTATATACTGTTTTATATGTATACTATTAACTATATATATACATATACTATATACATATATGTATATATAGAGGCCTAGAATAGTATTACTATTAATAATAGTATTATAAGTGTAGGCCTATCCCCCCCCCCCAATAATTATTTGTAGGACCCATTATTCATATGTAATGATATATATAGTGATTCTTAAGGCATAAATTAAGTAAAAATGTACAAAAAATATTCACTTACCTTTGGTATTGAAATATCCTATATTTAATCACATATCACACTATTCCAAAAGAGAATTATTATATAATCCTCAGTATTCTCAAAGAAAAAAACACACTTTCTGCCACAATAATCCAAGAATTACATGAGATATTACTAAAATTTAATAATAAAACATTGTAATAACCTCAAGCAAATAACTAGAACTTATTTAAAATTCTATCAACAGCCAAAGTTGATTCTTACAAGAAATGTTGATCTGTGAAACAACTTTACTAACTTAAAATAAATGACATTACTATTTTTTGTCATATTCACACATTCATATGGTATGGGACTAAAATACATTATATAGAAAATGGTAAAATAAAAAGTGTAATAGTCAATTTTAACTTATTGAAACAAATAATCCCTTTATTATTAGTATATACTTATAAATTTTAAACAATTCCACAGAAAATTTTAAATTAATATCTTAAGAATATTTTATTATTATTATGAATTTTGGGAAATTGAAAAAAAATTTTATACATAATTAATTAATTAATTACGAATAAGTGACGAGTCAGCATATTTTATATATTTTTAATAGGAAAATAATAAAGATTTTAAAAATAATTTTTGCGGAATATTGACAAAAACTAACTTATATTTTGTGGTTTTATTTAGAAGTACTCTAATTAAAATATGTTCCCTGTAAATATTATATTTTTGTGTCATTTTATAATAAAGTTATAGGCCTTAAAAAAAAATCAAAATGAGGGTCACGAAATGTGGAGGAAAATCCCATAGTAAAAAAGTGCCTTTGAGGTCCCTACTAAAAAATTCATAACTTTTGAACCACTTGAGCTAGAAAGTTGATCTTGGTGTTTTTGTAATCTATTCTCCAGGCTCTATACAGCTGTAGTATTTTTATATTTTTAAAAATGTTTTGAAATTTTAATCAAAGTGCCTAATATTAGATACTTTGGTCAAAAATGTAAACATTTTGTAAAAATAAACCAATGGAACAGTTCAATAGAGCTAATTTTTTACACAATTTTAACACCAAAATAATATTTTTAGCTGTTGTAGTTTTAAATTTATGAATTTTTTAAATACGACTTGGTTTGTCCTTTTTTAACATGGACTGCATCTCCACATTCTGTGACCTCATTCCGCTGATCGCGTCATGCGCAATGACTTGATAGTTTATATAAGGCAACGCATTCCCTTATCACTAAAATACTGTTTAGGGTCGACTTATTTTAAACTTTCAACTTTGGCACATGAATAATTAATAAAATCTTTCCCTGACCAATGGTTTAATAGTTTTTTAACATGGCAAACTCTTATGACTTATGGAAACTCTGAGATAGTACTACGATATAGCCGTTATGCAAGTGGCTGTGAATGTTTGCCAATGGCAACATGTTGGACACGGAAAATTCTGATCATTTATAATATGGACTCTACAGGGTTTTTAAAGCTCAAATTAAACATTCCAGTTTAAATGTCTTCAAAATGCATTCTGAAGCACAAGTTAAAATAACTGTATCGTAGTACTACCTCAGAGTTTCATTCATAAGAGTTTGCCGTGTGCAAAAACTATTAAGGGGTTAACTACCTTCATTTTCATTTTCTAAATTATTAACATTTTAACATGTTTAAAGTTTTTATATTATGTATATGGGCTTAGATAAGTAAAATATGGTGGACAAATTTAATTATTTAAAAAAAAATTTCCTTCAGCGGAGCATATTTGGGGTCGAGGTGGTAAAATCATGGGAACCTTAGGAAAGGTTTTATATAAAAGCCACAGCAGCTACAGGTCTCAAATTTTGCATTTAATTAGCCATAAGCCTACTAAATATGATAACATTGAGACTTTGGGTAAAAAGATAGCCAATTTTTTTTTTTCATGTCCTTTTGGTGCTGTTTAGTTTTTGTTTGGCCGCGCAACTTTTTCTTTAAAAATATCACTTTCAATAAAAATATTTTTTTTCCATGATCATTTTTAACCTAAACGGCTCTGTCACTATAATCTTAAGCCATATTTAAACAAGTATACACAATTTCAAAACAATTGAACAGGTAGATTTTGAGAAAAATGAAGCCTAACATTTAGTATACCTTAAAAATTTTATTTTGAGAAAAACAGAAAATAAACTCTTTTTGGAAGAAATTTAAGTCTTATTCATAATGTAAGCAAATAAATTTCATCTTATTCAATATAAAAATCATTGGGCATGTTAATAAGCAAAAAACAAATGTAAACCTGTGGAAAATAAATTTTCAGTGACAAATATACAACACCCTCCCCGCGGCAAAATTTTTTTTTTTTTTTTAAATTTCCAAAAAAAATTACTTTGCATACCAAAAACATTATTTCAACATTATCATTATGATTTAAAAATAGCATACTACATAATTTATAAAAATTGGAAGATATATTTTTTAATTTATTAGTAGACGACATAAAAAAATCAGCCCCTTCAAGTATTTCTTGCGGCCACCCTTACTCTAACTCAACTCTGCATTTCTTTTTCTGCAGCTATTTTTTAAACCTCCTTCCAAATACTTCATTATTTTCTAGTGACCTCTGGGCTTTATAGATGCAGAAACTGTCCCTTGTATTTCCAAGTAGATGGGTCTGCAAATGGTGCAGCCACAGCCTGTCTGTTTAGAGTGTGGACACTTTCAAATTTTTTCTCAGTTTTTACCGCTTCGCAGGTTGCACAAAAAAAACAGCAAATATACTGCAAGTCTACAGTTTTTATTTCTCATCCTGTAGAAGGTGAAGAGACTAAGTACTGCAAGAGGCACATTGCAGTCCAGTATAGCAAACTTTAAATAGCAACATAGATTGTTGGCGAAGGTGAATCGCTGGGGCTGTCGGTGGCAGCAAAAAAAAAGCCAAGTTCATGCTTTCATGCATACCCGGCAAAATGACTGTCCCTGTCCCAAAATGACTCGGGTTGTATATCCTGAATATCTGCTACAGAGTGGTTGTCCAACTGGCAGGGAGGGGACAAAGCGATGGTTGAGAGTTCATTCTTCTTCGACTTGGCCGCTCTTGCCATAGTTGTCGATGTCTCTTCAGCTTAGATCTTGAAGCAGTACTCTTTGTCAATTCTTTAGTTGGAGGCATAACACTGAAGAAATAGCAATAGAGAAATAAAAAAATTGTCAATAAAAATAAAACAATATCATAAACAAAGCAACTGGTATGTCAAAAAAAGTTGCAAGAATGAACACACGTACCTGTAATTGAAAATAACCAAATATTATTATTATAAATAGAACATTTTTAATTTAGTAAGCCCAATAAGAACTAAATAGGTACAGTGCCTGTATATTGTAAAATAGATCCAGTCATTATCAATAGTCCTATATAGCCTATAAATATTTCAAATGTGTCTCCCCATGTGGTGTATGAGTATATGAGATGCACTATCACTAGTACTAGTACTATTTTTAGTATAGTATTATGGTATGATTACAATTACAATTAATTATAGTATAGTGTAGCCTACCAGAAGTAAATCGTTAAACTATTATTAAAATATTTTAGTATTACTATATAATATGTACATTTAGTTTGTAATGAGAGTACAACAGGTCTAATGTTTGTAATACACAGTTCACGTGTGACTTGACTAAGTTTACTGACTCGGTCTAGCAGTGGCGTCCTAAGACTAGACCACAAAATTACCAATGAACGAAATAATAATACCGAATTCAATTATAAAAATATCATATACAAATTAATCTTACCTTATTTTATGAAATCAATTGAAAAATAATCAAATCCTAAAACAGTAAAGCAAATTTTCACTTCGAATCGACGAAAAAGACATTCTCTTTGTTTACACGTCGTCAGGGGAAAATGTGGAAGGTCACGGCTTCCGTATAGGAAAATGGCGGACATGGACCAATCAAAATGCAGAGAATTGTTTATAGCTACGAATTGGCCAATCATCTACTTTTGTGTACACGTGATACACATGGTTTTTACGTGAATGGTTATTTTTAGATAAATTAGTCATCGGAATGGCATTCTTTATGCGGTGATAAGCTTTCTAACGATACCAAACATGATAGAATCGAACCGGGGGTTTCCGCGCAATCAAGTGTTGAAAAATAGGTCATTTGGGGTTAGGTGTGAACAAAAACATAGACCCCCAACCCCTTCAAATCACAATTATTATATTAAAATTAATTAATTTCATAATTTTTACTTTATTTAATGATAATAAAGATATTAATCTAACAGAAAATCCAAGTTTTGAAGAATCGATATTTTTTTCAAATTTCCATTATTTTGTGACCCGTGGATCCCCTTAAACCATTGGTCAGGGAAAGCTTTAATTAATTATTCATGTGCCAAAGTTGAAAGTTTAAACTAAGTCTAAACAGTATTTTAGTGATAAGGCAGGGAATGCGTTGCCTTATATAAACTATATAGTCCTTGCGCATGACGGGATTGGCGGAATGAGATCACAGAATGTGGAGATGCAGTCCATGTTAAAAAATGACAAACCAAGTCGTACTTTAAAAATTCATAACTTTAAAACTATAACGGCTAAAAATATGATTTTGGTGTTATAATTCTTTAAAAAATTACATCTTTTCAACTATGCCATTGGTTTATTTTTACAAAAAGTTTAAATTTTCTTATCAAAGTCCCTACACTATTGGCCACTATTAGCGGTGCTGACTCTAGCCTCTGGTATGTACGGAATCAAAAAGTTTAAATTTTCTTATCAAAGTCCCTACACTATTGGCCACTATTAGCGGTGCTGACTCTAGCCTCTGGTATGTACGGAATATTAAACATTAAACAAGCTCAACGCTCGAAACAATCGATTAATGTATCGTGATCGTGTGGAATTCGGGAAAGAGAATTACTTTTATTTCAGATTATGATCCGGTGAGTCACAAAATCTGTCAAATTCCGAAATCCGGTATATTCCGGAATCCGGTTGTTCCGGATACATGTAAATCCGGCGGAACCGGATTTCACCGGATAGTGCAAAATCCGGCGGAACCGGATTCCGGACCGGACTCCGGCACACCCCTAATTTTCTTTCTAAGTATCGTCAATTTCCACCATTAAAAGGGCAAGCCATGTTAAAATTGGGCTGAGCGACGTTATGGTGATTTGGGTCATGGGGACAAGCGTAGCGAACGTCGGACACGACCTACATCAATGAGAATTGGCACATTTAGGTACTTGGGTAAACCAGTTTTCTGCTAGTGTCAAATAATTGCAGAGTGACGTGCCCCTTGTTCAACTTTTTGTCCACTTCAAAATGTAAACATTGCATATGCATTGGGAAAAAATGTGTTTTGTGGATGTTTCTTTTTTAAATAGGTAGTGTGATACATCATTTTAAAGAGAATTGGAAGCTGAATAATACTGTGTCTTCAGATTTTTAATCACGATTGAAAAACAAAAATATATATCCAGTTGAATTAAGCTAAGTGTACTATTTAATATCTCGCAGAGACTCCACCAGACTCGATTTTCATGATAACCACTGTTTAGAGCATCCAATTATCTGTAAGAATGGGGAAATTAAAAGTCCCCCCAACCTACCCCAACGATTTTATTAAATTTTCAAAACAGTCACCACATGGTTGTTTCCTCCCTGGGTATCATTTTCAAGATGGCCGAATCCACCTCAGCAAATCATTTTTAAATCTTAAGTAATCTGATTAATAAACAATGTTAAAAGCACTATTTTAAGTTATATGAGGTTAATATTATTAACAAAGAAGACATATGAATAGATATTAAATTGTATTTCTTTATTTAAATAGTGAAACTTCCACTCCCATATAACAGGCCTTTAAGGGAGTTTGGTCTAAGCTACCTGACACATTTGTAGCATGGAAATATGAAGAAAAGTATATTTTATCTTCATAATAGATTTAAAATTAAGATTTGTTTATTATGTAGATGAATTGATACTTTGAAATGATTCACGCACACAAAAATTACTTTGTTGTATTTTTTTAAAGGCCTATCCAATGACATTGACATCATAATGTTAATCATATTAGCAATTTGTAGGCAAAAGTTGAGAATTGGCATACAAACACAAATTTGGTATCAATGAATTTCATTTTTCAGGCCCTATCTTACCAACTAGCTCTTAAAGCTATAAATTCATTTTGAAAATTTTACCCAAGTACCTAATAGTATACTTCAATATCTCATGCTTTTCACGGTTTAATTTGAAAGACCGTTTCTTTTTATTTCACAAAAAATTTTGTATGGGAAGATGCCTTATATATACCAAAGATTTTCAAAATAAAAGTCGACTGAAAAAGCAAATAGCTGGATGGAAATTTAGGCCAAGATGCCTACAAAAATATAAGGCTGGAAACGGAACCCAAATATATGTCGAAAGTACTCATTTAATAATAGACACATCGGAAAATTAAAAACTCAAACTTTTTGGCGCCAATGCCCATTTCCGATACAAATTTTGAAGTAGCCTCCCTTGCTTTACAGCAGTATCTACAGAAGGGGTCAAAATCTGCATTTATTTTTTGTGGGAGATATTTGTAACAATTTGTATTAGTATTAATAATTGCGTATGCCACCTATGGTGGAAGAGAGTGCCCGTTATATTATAGTCTATACCTCGGCTTTAGTGGCCCCAGTCCCAGATATGCAACAAGACTGTCTGCAAATTGAATAACGCAAAACTATTTAATAAACAAAAATATGCTTTACTTTAGACATTCTTAAGGCTTAGGTGTAACTGCATGCAGCATGCCTACTCATTTAGTTACTTTGGTTAAAAAAAAATACAAAATAATTTTTTTAATATTAGTTATTTAGAGCAAATTTCAAATACAAAAATGAAAAATAAGCTTTTCAGCTTAAGTACTTTTTGAGCTACGAATTTTCAAAGTGTGAGTTTGTTTGGTATATTTTACTATGAATGAAACCTCTATAACTTGTGACCTCATTCCGCTGATCTCGCCATGCACAATGACTAAATAGTAACTAATAATTAAATATTTCCAAATTATCAGCATCTTCCGCCATTAAAAACACCCATGCCATGTCCAAATTAGGCTGAACGACCTTATGGTAATGCGGGTCAAGGGGACAAGCCTCTGATACGACCTACACCGAGAATTGGCACACATATACAACAACATTCAGTGCTTTCACGATTTAATTCTTTGAATTTCACGAAAAATTTGTATGCGTAGATGCCTCATAAATACCAAAGATTTTCAAAATGAAGGTCGATTAAAAAAAGCAAAATACCTGGATGGAAATGTAGGCCAATATGTCTAGTCTTCCAAAGTGAAAAGGTGGAAGGGGAACCCAAGTAGATGTCAAAAGTACTCATATATTAATGAATTGTCACTCACATTAAGCAATTAAAAAGTCTGATTTTACTGCGCCGACGCCCATTTCCGATACAAATTATGAAGTGGTCTCCCTTGCTTTACCGGCCGAAGTACATACCAATGGTGCTGAATTAATATTTCTGATAATTGCTTGACATACAGCGTTTCCATTAAACCGTATGGCGAATTCTCATATCCCTCCTTCTTATTTTAGGGAAGCCTATGGGATTACACACAGCTCGCAAGATGAAAGACCACCGTAGAGAGCAGAGGTGGCATGATAAGGAATACAAGAAAGCTCACTTGGGTACTCGCTGGAAGGCTAATCCATTCCAAGGTTCTTCCCACGCAAAGGGAATTGTTTTGGAAAAAGTGTAAGTACAATGAAGCTTAATATCTACCATGCTTAGTCTAAACTCTCATAAGACATGAATACTTAAAATCATAATTATATTGTTATTTAGCTTCAATACCTGGTTTCAAGTCGCAGCTTAATATTGATATATTTTTGCAAAATATCATTTTTATTAGTCTAGATTACTGCATTTTTTATTATATTGACATTTTATGACAAGGGCAGAATTTTACCATTTCTTGTTTGGCAAATATGGCAATTAACTGAAAGGTATTAAAATTATATGCATTTGATGCGTACAGCCAAGTTTAATTATTTTGCAGTGCTGTCCTCTGATGTACCATATCACAACAGACTGACCATAAATTTTGTTTGCTTTACAATATCTTAAAACTTTTTTTGTAATTATTTTATCTAGTGGTGTGGAAGCTAAGCAGCCAAACTCTGCCATTCGCAAGTGTGTCAGGGTACAACTCATCAAGAACGGCAAGAAAATCACAGCATTTGTCCCCAATGACGGTTGTCTTAATTTCATTGAGGTTTGTAAATTGCTTTTTTGCTGTATGTCATATTAAGATATTCATATTATGCTAAAATACAATTTAATTTATCTGGGTTGTGCCATAGAAAAATTACTTGTAACATATATAAAAGTAATGGATGTTATTTTTTTTATTGTCTGTTAAACTCATATGTTGTCTCACATTCTTAACATTTTATAATTAGGTGGGTATCATCATTTGTCACTCATCAATTCTATTTTTGTTTTAGCCTTTAGTTTACATATATAAGTGGTTGATGTGTTTGTGGGTTTAGCCTACATATGAGTTGTTGTCATATGAATATTAGTTGTCATATGATTAGGAGTTGTTGTGCTTGTTGATTTCAGTCCCATTTTACAGTATGGTGTTACTAAGGTTTCCCACCAGTTTCTATATTCTGCACCCCTACCAGTTGTCACACTACCTACTAAAGTAAGAGTGCAATTCAAAATTGGGGAGATGTTAGAATTGAATTTTTGTTTTGTTTTATTACAAAGAGATCACAAATTCATTGCAGGAAAACGATGAAGTGTTAGTTGCTGGATTTGGTCGCAAAGGTCACGCTGTGGGTGATATTCCTGGTGTACGTTTCAAGATTGTGAAGGTTGCCAATGTGTCACTCCTTGCATTATTTAAGGGAAAGAAAGAGCGTCCTCGTTCTTAAATGTTCGTAAATAAATGAATAAGAACTAATATTATGTCTTGACTTGTGTTTGATTTGTTATCTGGTCTTAGTGTTTACAGATGATTTAAATGACACAGAATTCTGAATTAAAATGTATTTTTTAACCATGGAAGAAACTGTCAACTAAAAGAATAGGTAAAAATATATAACTTCACATTAAGCTGCTAATCTGTGATAACAAGGTTGGTGCTGGACTAAGAGTTACATCTCTTGGCATGGTACTGTGTCTGGGCTCTGAAAATTACCAAAGAAATATTTTAAAGAAGCAGCTACGGTATTAGTAGTAGTAGTAGTAGTACAAACTGGGAGAAACTGTATTTTTGGCAATTTTGTTTTTTGAGTTAAATAATTAGTCCCATTATTACTGCTAGTGCTATACAAATGTAATTACTGTGTAGTATAAAGCTGGCCAAAAAGTTTACAAAGTATCAGTTAAGACAAATTTTACTGCTTTTTTTTTCTTTCTAATTAGATTCTAAGTGGCTATTTGTACTTGGGTACCAGAAGTGAGAGGTTGGGATTAAAAAACGATTCAAAATATTATTATTGTTGAGTTTGTAAGACAAAAGACAAAATGAGGTATCAAATGAAATATTGAATGGACTATAAACGTTTGTAAACTTACTTCTTCAGTTTAACTAAAATAAACTACAAACAAATGACATCTGATAAAAATTGCAGTGTGAAAGGTTGATTCATATTACTATTACCTTGAGGGGTTCGACTTCTGAAAGGTCCTCTTATGTTTTTTATTGTCACTTCTGTGATAGACAGTGTTGGAGATGAATTACAACTGTCAATCTGAAAAGTATAGACATACGGGTACTGGTACCTGGTACATAAGAATGGTAATAGTATAGAGCATCCTATCATTATCATGTTTTTTCAAGTATTTGAGATTAAAATTAAAGAATAGAATTTAGCAAGAGAAATAAGGGAGGACTGCTTTCAGGTTAAATCAAGAAGAAATATACCATACAAAGGGTAGAGGAAAACCTGTAAAGTAAAAGGTCAACACAAAGTGGACATTTCTGCCAAAAAGCTCTAGACAGCAAAGATTCTAGTACTACCATTTGGGTCTATTGCACGTAAGGTGGCAGGACTAAGACCCTGATTCAGAGGTCCTACAAAAAACTATCAGCACCACATGCTCTTACAAGGATAAGCCAAGTGGGCATGGCATTTTAACATAAATGCTAGACAAGATTCCCCAAAACCTAATTTTAGGGGAGCTCTCCAGAGGGAAATGCTAAGTTGGTGGGCAGAAAAAAACTCTTGACCCCAGTAATTAATGACTGCCTAACTCTAAAAGTGAAAGTTTCACTCAAAACAATGGACATTGACATTGTTTAAATTATCTCTATTCTTTTGAAAACTCTGCTTACCAGGTACCGTAGTTAATTATTATATTTAAGGAAAAGGTCTAGGGATCTAGAAATTAGAAACCTTAAAAATTTAAGACTATGCATGCAATGACTCTCCCTGTTAAAAATATTACTTTAAAAATAATGTTATTTAATTTTTACTAAATAACGAAGAACAAGGCCTATAGCTTGTTCAAAGTGTTTCTAATGAAGGGCCGTGTAACCCATCTAAAGTGAAAATGGGGTCCATAAAATGGAATCGTGTCAGGAGCATGGTTTCATTAATCCAGAATTTTACTTCCACAATATTTTTAAGCAACCTATTCTTGTAAATAATATGCGCCTGAGAGACTACCAACATACAGTACATAAATAACCCAGTCTCACAGTCACAGAAGCCCTGATTCTGTGTGAATAGCCTTGGAATTTTAAAACTTTAAAGCTATCATTATTTGCTTTCAACTCTCTGCATATACCAGTAATACTGTGGTAATACGAGTAATATGGGTAACATGAACTACCCCAACATATTTACAGCTTTTGCTGTTTATTGTAAATTAAAATTCCAGGAAGCACACACGATCATATTAATATTATACCGTATAAAAATATCATCCCCAAAATAAAGTTAAATAACATACTTTCCCCTCATTGAAAAAATGCAATTTCCTTAAGCAAATGAATGTATGAAATTTTGGGAGCCATGCATGACAGCATTATATACATCATTATATTTATATATATCATTCATGTATAGTAGGTGCCACAGTATTTTTAAATTTGCTGGGGTCAGGACAATGAAAACATTACCAGTACCTTTTTAACAGGAAAGTAGCTCTTCACATCAGATCTGAAATGACATTGCAGTACTCTACTATAGTTATGACATGTTAAACTTATGAACATTATGTCCTTTCATTACTAGTCCCAAAATAACTAATTTTTTATAAATAATTCCTTAATTTTAAACATATCAAGGGTATGCCCCCACAAAAATCTATTGGCTGTACAGGTACATGAATCTCATGATGAACCAGAAAAATGAATGAAAATAGATTTTAATTTAATAACATTACCCTTGTTGAAATGGGTATGAATTCTTTTTTAGTTAGTCATTAGTAGCTCTTTACTAATGGTCAAGAAACTATAACTTTTCCCTGATCAAGTATCTCTTATACTTATATAAAAGAGAGAGCGTCAACTAAAGACTATTAGTTGGTATTATTTATTAATAAATCCATAATAAATTAACTAAAATATTCCATTATTTCCATCATGGTTAAAACTGAACTGTACTTAATTACCTTAATAATAATTAATTAAAAAACAGGATTATAAATTATACATATTTAACTACAGTTGGCAGGCACATACCTTTTACATAAAAATGCTGCCAAAGTTGAATTACTGGAAAAGCTTTGCACTTCTTGTTTATCTGAAGAATGAACCCTGTTATCTTTGGATGGAAACAGCTTATTACTAAATGTACCTTCATTTTTAGCAGCCCAGAATTTCAACTGATCACTTGCAGAAATATTTTGTTTAATGTTGTTAATTCTTTCTTGTTCAGCACTAAATTCTAAGCAAGGGGTAGGAGGAATCTTTGTGTTTTCTGAAATTCTTGCAGGCACAAATTTGCAGCTTGTAGCTTTTGCCATGTTGGTTTTTTTATAGGCATTCTTTGGTTTGCCTAAACATGGAACATCCTCTTTATCAGATGAAACTGTTTTCAGTTCTTCACTTAAATTACCTTTGTTATGAATTTTGTTCTTTCTGGGATATACTTTTTTGTGTTTTTTTTCCTTCTTAGGTTTTGACAAAATTGCTAAATTATCCGATTCTTGAATATGATCTTTTATATTTTTAAATAATTGAGCTGTGGCATCTACCATAGTTACCTGAGAAGGTACTTCTTCTGACAATATCAATTGTTTCTTTCTATTTGAAGTCATGGTGGCACAAAGGTCCAATTTATTGGATACATTCTTTTTTGCATCTAAATTATTGTAAGGATTTATTAATTCAAGCTTTCTTTTTCTTTGTGATCGTTTTGTTGAGCAAAGATCAAGTTGATTTTTCTGATCATTGAGTTGGCTTAAAGAACATGGAGCACTGTATGTTGCTCTCATAAATCCTGTGCTGCTTAATTTCTGGGGAGGAAATTTGAAAACATCACTGTCAGGATGTAGTCTTGTTGAAGGTCTAGAAGACCTGGTGGCATACTTCTGACAAGATATTGGTTGAGAAATCAAGTTGTCTGAATTATGGGGCTGCTCAAGAGGACAGTGATAAAAGGCTGTGGTATTTCCTCTGGTGTGTTGAGATTGAAAAGGACTAATTTGCTTTGCAGCTGGAACATCTCTCTGCCAATTTTTTATATGCATTGAGTCACCCTTTTCCATGCCTGTATTTTGCTTAGTTACTAGTAAATAGTTAATTATCCTGCGGGAAATCAAATATTGAATTACAATTAATTTTTCAAGTTTAAAAGAGAGAGTTAAATAATGTACATAACAGCTTGTCAAGACTTTCTAACATTTAAATGATTTTTCAGTTATTATTATTATTATCTAGAAAATGATTTAGCAAACAACTTCAAATTAATACATACCCACGTCTAATATTTAAATAATTATGATTTGGTAAGTTTTGACTTGAGCCTATTCTTTTCTTTCATTTTTTAATAGCAATAGGTAGGATGTAAATTTGGACCACCTTAATATATTATATTAGAGTGGTCTAAATTTTCAAACGTTGCATATAGTATGGTCTCACTCTCTTTAGTTGTTCTACTACACCAGTATATAATTCCTCAAAATTTTTAGCTTAAAACTGAGTCCAATTTATGGTTGCTTAAGTAAGTTAAATTTGGTTTATTATCGTCTTTGTGCCGTAATGGGAAAACAAGTGACAAAAAACATTCATAAATTAAAAATAATGCTTTTTATGGGCACTACATATGAAGAAAGAATTTCAAACATCTTTGGTATCACTGGTACTTCACAGAAAAGCTTTTTCTTGATCTTACTGGATTGATCAAATATCAGTCATTGTTTCAGGTGTGGGAATAAATCAGATTCTTGTGTTCCCAAGCTGAAATCGATTGTTAGAGAGTCCCAAGCATCTATTGTTGCACATTTGTTGGAAGAGTGAGGGATCAAAAAGAAAAAGTAAAGGCAATGTGCTTTTATACTACTTCAAATAATACAGTCATTTAAGTATTTAAAGTGGAACCTGCACCCTTTTAGAATAAAAATTGGAAAACGTGCTGGTCTACTTTAATATTTTAGAAATTGTTCAGGTAAGTGTCTTCGGTGAGAGTAAGAGAACTGCAACTTTTGTTCCTGATATACCCATCTTTATGTAAGCACTTCAAGCCATCATGAAGGGAAATTTGATAAATCTTGTTATGAATGTAGTGCTACTAAAGAAATACTTACGGGCCGTTTAAAATATCACAAGGACAGTCTCATGGAATTTGCAATCAGGGATTTTGTGAATCTTCTTAATTAGGGTCTACATCCATCATCAAGGCATGATTTCATGCCCCCTTATGCATTTCTGCTCTTAATAACCTCTTTCAAAAAGTTAGTGAATATGAAAATGTAAATGCTGCCCTCTACAAAGTCGACACCACGAAATTCAAAAGTTACCATTGGTATCTCAGCGAAGAGATTGTGGGGTAGGCGTTTTTGACAAAACTCTGCAATGTTTAAGTCTATTAATGAAAATGAAGGAATGGATGAACCTCCAAGTGTATTGAGCTTAACTAGAATCTGATTCTGAGATGTGAAATCTCAGAGGGTTATAAACAAGCTAGGGAGACTGTTAAAACCTAGAGGGTGGTTAATGACAATGCAGAGTGCAGAGAGAGGTGTGGCTCTCATGCAGCATTTTAACTAGGGAGAAGGAACAGATACAAATGTGCTGCATGTTGTACAGGAGAGTTGTCAGCTTTACCAGACTGTATGAAAAATACATTGGTCACAAAATTCAATTCCGACATGAAAAGATAGAAGTGTTATGTTGTTTATATGCAATTCTATGTAATACAAATAGTTTGAAGTAAGTTTTAATGGGCAAAACTATAAAATACTATAATAATGAACCTATTCGTAAATAAGCTTGTAATAAATTAACTTCAAAGTTGTTGAGGTATCTGTAAATGTTAGTAAAAATCCACGATACTTTTGCATACATTGTTTTTTTATATATTAATAGAACATTGGGGTGGAAGGGGGGGGGGGTGTGTGTCCGTCCAGGTCAGACCATTGAAAATTAAGTTTTTTAAACTATATATTGTGGACCACTCTAAAATATATATAATGTAAAATTTAATTTACATTAATGTTATTTATTTATCTGTTGGACTGATAGTCATAACGTTGAACTTTGTATTTTGTCTTAAAATAATTTAAGCTTATGTAGCCGAGTGGATGACGTAGCTTACAGTTTTAAAATAAAATCAAAATGAAACAATCAGGTCTTGAGGACTATAGCTTTTTAATTAATGCTCTCCTATGATGAAAACAAGAAGAAGGGAAAGAAGAAGAGAAAGAAAAAGAGAAAGAAAAAGGAAAAGAAAAAGGAAAAGAAAAAGGACAATATCTGAAAATAAACAAATAGTACAGGTTAACAATGTCCTGACTAACATAGCTAATAATAAACATGTTACATAACCACGTAATTACACGTGGCGACAACATATACTTAATTAGAAAGCATGATAAATGATATGTACGTAGTATTGGTTCATACACATGGCAAAGATAATTATCTTGTACTACGAATGTTTTAACTATAAAAGAAACCACGTGCAGTGTTTAATTTGAAACACGTGCACAGTGTTAATGCTACACACAGAACCAGAGTGCGATGTGAGGGCTAACATAAACTTTAAAGATCTTGAAGTTATAATAGTATGCCATCCAGGTATGGTGTCTATGTAAGAGGCACACATAGCGGGACAGTAAATACAACGGTATTAAGTATGACCACCGTTGGCTTGATACTTGTATCTGTCCATCGCTGTGTCTTGTTAAGACAACAGCAGATTGCAGAATGAATCATAATTATATTATATGGGATGTGATCCTCACACATGCACTATTTCCTATGTGAGAATTTAGCACACGGCAGGAAAGTTAGCCTATTACACATATTTGACGGACACTCGCTGGTTGTATACTGTTGTATCAATAGCTTATTTTATAAGCTAATGTTTTAACTATAAAAGAAACCACGTGCAGTGTTTAATTTGAAACACGTGCACAGTGTTAATGCTACACACAGAACCAGAGTGCGATGTGAGGGCTAACATAAACTTTAAAGATCTTGAAGTTATAATAGTATGCCATCCAGGTATGGTGTCTATGTAAGAGGCACACATAGCGGGACAGTAAATACAACGGTATTAAGTATGACCACCGTTGGCTTGATACTTGTATCTGTCCATCGCTGTGTCTTGTTAAGACAACAGCAGATTGCAGAATGAATCATAATTATATTATATGGGATGTGATCCTCACACATGCACTATTTCCTATGTGAGAATTTAGCACACGGCAGGAAAGTTAGCCTATTACACATATTTGACGGACACTCGCTGGTTGTATACTGTTGTATCAATAGCTTATTTTATAAGCGCATTGCAGTATGTGTACCCAGAACGATATGCAGTTGTTTGTTACGCACAAACCCTGGCCACTGGTATCTATTTATTAATCCTATTAAATAATTTATTTACCGGTTGTATGTTAACCTTTAAAATAGCATGAGCATAAGTCTACACGCTGTAGGTTATCCTACACTCTATCCTGGCTATAAGTCTGAACAGAAAACTTCTAATGCTAACACTCAACAAGTTCCTACTAACCACAAAGAAATAAAAATGGCGTAATTGCCTTTACTTACAGAGCGTTCCAATGGGCCGCACTGAACAAAGGCACACTGTAGGTATGCTGACCAAAGCTCGAAATGACCCCTACCTCGTGTGCTCCCCTTTTTAAAACCGCGCGCGGACATATCAGAGAGCCCCTACGTCACACCTAAACCGAGTCGGTCTAAGTTTTGCCTTCTGGCCAGTTTCCTGGGGTAAAATGACTAATTCTGGGGACTAATCCCGAGTAATAATTAAAATCTTTATCCACATCCCTAACGACTTATATGTAATCTGTGCAGTTTTGTCTTAGCTATCTAAGATGCTATTTTATATTTTTATGACTTAAATAGTTTTTGAGATATCTCAACTAGAAGGGGTGGAGACCACTATAAATGAAGGCGAAAACTCCTTTAATGACTAAATATTAAAATATCCTCCAACGATGGAAACTTGTAAATATGCTAAGGTATAGTGAATAAAATCCCCGTCTTAACTAGATGTAATGTATAACTTAACACGCTAGGGTTCCTGATAAATAAATTATTGAATTCCTAACCAATTCGCACATCGTGGTATTTTATTATTTCCTCCCTATGCGCCGGTCGTATAGTGACCGTCCGGGGGGAGGGGGGGGGGAAGGTGAAAAGGGATACCTGTTACGCACCGCGCCAGTGCTACTACACACCGCGCGGCCTTGAGTTGGGCGCCAGACATGGTTTACGTAACGGGTCAAATAGTGGGTTGGGGCATACATGAAGGTGAAAAGGGATACCTGTTACGCACCGCGCCAGTGCTACTACACACCGCGCGGCCTTGAGTTGGGCGCCAGACATGGTTTACGTAACGGGTCAAATAGTGGGTTGGGGCATACACTGCCACACTTATATTTATATATTCTGTTATATTTATATATATTTGTTTTGTCTTATTAATCTACCTAAAAGTAAATGCTTTATTGCAGTCCAACTCTTATAAGATTAGTTAATTTTTCTTCACACCAAAAATTTGTAAGTTAACCAAAAAAATTGAAAATACTAAATATAGTTACCTATCTTCAAATTGAGAAAGCATTGCCTTAATGTAATCTGCATGAGATTTTTCATTCAAAGATCCAATAGCTCTTTGTATGTTTTCCATTAAGGACATCTGCACAGATGTGATATTTTTGTCATGGTTCTGAATAAAATTGTTCAGAACATTTTCTAGTTTCTTGCTCATACATTCAAACTGTTTCCTATAAAAAAAAAAAGTATTAAAGCTTGTTTCAATAAATGTTAACAGGTTATTCTGGATATTAAAAAATGAGTCCTTTGCAATTTCAATAAGCACAGGATCTGTAGTTGAGACTGCAGCCTACTTCAATTTTTAAGCTCATAAATTTTTTATAACTTACATTAACAGCTCTTGCTGTTGAGAGTTACCATCATTTTTAAATCTGGACTTTTCGTGGCCCGACTGCTTAATTACTTGGCTTGTAGCATCTGTAATTTCTTTTGATTGTACAGATAAAAGGATTCCAAATTCTCCTTTCAGCTCATTTTGCACATCATATAAACAGTTTTCAAACTTTTTCTGAACATTTTTGACTTCATCTAGTATTCTGGGAGAAAAACAAACATTTTTTTAATTCACAAAAATTTCAGACATATACTTTTAAACTATTCAATTCATTTCACACTAGTTGCTTATTCCTGTAACGCAGGGTTTCATAAGTGGTAGCTACTGAATGCTGAGGTCATTTTCTCCTCTCAGACAATAGATAAGAGCTAAAGGGTTGTTGGAGGGTTGGTGAGACAAATATTTTTTGATAGATTTCCTTTTAGAAATGTTGACATTAAATAATAGAGACCAGAAAAATTAGAAAAAATTATTATTGAAACATATTTTCTGATTTTCCAAAGAAATATATGGATCACTTATAATTTGCATCGCAGGCTACCATTAAAAAAATCATGACTGTAATGATCCATAAAGTTGTTTGTCAAAAATAACTACATTTTGGGATCAAGACTATTTTAATGCTAAAGGTATAAAAATTATGTAGTAATGATACAAACTTTAATTTTGGCTTTATCCACTTCAAGTATAGTTGCAGCTAGATTATCACAAAAAATTAACAATGAAATATGTAATATTTAAAGAAAATGGTTAACAGTACTTTATATAAAGCTACAACTGTGAGCTGAATGTAAATGGTCGTGTAAAAAAACCTTACTTATTTGTTCAATATAAAATATGATGTGATTAATATACTTGAAGAAAAAAAAAATTATTCAAAAGCCTTTATAAATTCAATAAATTAAAAAAAGTTTTTAATACAAAAGCTTTCACATTGTGGAGGTGGGTTGGCATCAGGGAATTCAGGCCTTTACATAACAAGCCAATAGACTTAAAGTTTTCACACACTAATACAAAGGGGTTGCAGTCTTTACAGACAGAGCATACAGTACTTTCTATTCTTTTTGTGGTAAAAAATACAACACTGGAATAATAAGACAATGGCATTCAGGGGCCCATTCAACACAGACCTTGAATTCTACTCCATTGGCAGACAATATCTTGCACTATTTGTACTGTTAGTAGGAGTACATCTGAGAACTTCTTTCATTCATTCTAGTCTATTTTGTTTTGTTAAATTCATTCATGTCATCATTAACTTTAATAGCACCAAATGTTTTCAATAAATACAGACATTAGTTTACCTTATTTTATTTATTCTTACTATCCAATTTTAATTACCAGATAGTTAAAAAGATAATTAACGTTATTTCTGAACGTGAAAGGTGGAACCAAACATCTAGTCAACCATACTGCTTGCAAATGGGCCCATCTAACCAGTTTTACATGAGTCATTAAAATAAAATATTTGTCAAACTTCACTGCTTTGTACGGATGTGGCTCCTAAAAAAAATATTTGCTTTATTTAAAAGACAGAGTTTAAAAAAAAAAATGTCCTGATTTTGCTTTTGCAAACTATAGAACATTTATTACAGGTATGAAAATTAATTTTTAAAAAATGTATAAGCTTTTTAGGGGGAAAAGGGATTTATTGTCAGTAACAGACACTTAAAAAATCTATTAAATTAAGGATTAACTGTTTAATAGTCTTAATTTTTAGTGTCCCAGACACTGACAAAAATCTATTAAATTAAGGATCAACTGTTGAATAGTCTTAATTTCAGTGTCAGTAACAGACACAAAAATCTATTAAATTAAGGATCAACCATTGAATAGTCTGAATTTTATTAATTTTTGCTAGGTTTGAACCAACTTTTTTTCTAGTTCTCTCAAGCTTGATGGTCCTGCACCAAACACTTTCTGCCAATGTTTATTATAGCATTCCAACGACTGTTTGTATTCATGTAAATGGTTATCCGCCTCTTCCTTTGTATCTTTAATTAGTTTTATAATGTCCTGCAAAATAACAATGCAATTTTTGGCTTATTTTTTCGATGTGATTTTAATTAATTACAAATATTTATATGTTTTATACTTGATTTCAAAATCATTAAATAACAGTTCAAAAGGCTTACTTGGACACAAATATTTAACTTTCTTAACTTAATTACATCCACAAAAAAGGAAGAAAATATTAATTAAAATCTTTCCTATATATTACAAGTACCATTGATTATTACAAGGATAAATATTTTTATAAATAATACTATCAACACATCTTGATCTGTCAATAACACTGTGTTGAGAAATGCAAAACACAGTGCTGAGATCAATAAAGACATCGATGAAAAGGGAGGAGTGAAATATAAAAGAGCTGGTTAATCTTCCACAACACATGGAATTTAGTTTAGAACTCTTCCAACTTTAAAGGTCATGAAATTCATTTAACTTATTTTTATGTCTTTTTATCTTTGTTATTATTTTTGGAACTCTGGCAGTAGACAGGTGGCGTAGCCAAATATTTAACAATATCACTCCACGATGAGCAAGTAAGTGTACTTAACTCAATGGGATTACTGTAATCTTTTTTATTATTTAGTTACATTTCCTGGTAGCAAACCATAACTTACATAAGATGGGTTTCATTACCAACTGTCAAAAATGTAAGTAGTATAAATCTTTTTGTAATAAAGCGTGACTGATAAAACATAATTTAAATTTAAAAAGTCAAATAAAGTTTTTACAAGCAATACCTCAAGCTTGTGGTCTAAGGCTAAATGTGGTGATGAGACTAGCTGTTTTACAACTTTAGAGTAACTATCCAAATCATCTCTTTTGGATTTTGAGAGTTGATCTTCTAATTGAGCTATTCTACATTCTTTCTGAAACATCATGGATTGAATCAATGCTTGAAAACATTAATATTGCCAATTAGTTTTAGATACATTGCATAAGAAAAGTTTTTTATATAAAAAAAACTACTAAGGCACATCATGGAAAAACATCAAAAAACATCTTTCCATTTTATTGACATAAGATATTCATGCAACAAATTATTTTTTTTAAAGGAATAAAATGTGTGTATAATAATTCTTCAAAAATGAAGGATAATTTTTCTAAAAGAATTTTTGAATGCTTTTAGAAATTAGATACAAAATAAATAGAAACTCAGCATTCTTCTCCAAAAATGGCACTGTTAGATTATCTTAAAAAAACAAAAAAACTGAAATATCTTTCTTAAATAATAATTTACCATTGCAATCTGTTTTTCAAGTTCTACAACTGAGACTTTTGTTTTATTCTGTTCCTCAAATAATTTTTGCAGACTCTCTTGCTGTTTCCAAATGTCACCAAGAACTGGTTAAAGTTTTTAAAATTACATTGTTAGAAAATATCACAAAATTTGTACATTACTAAATTTTTAAAGCACTTCAAAAAGTTCAATACTAGTTTACCACTAAAAGAAGCCCCATTGACACAATTGAAATAGTCCATAATTAGCGTAATTTGACTAATCATGTTCTATAAATCGTTTAATTAAATGAAATAGTATTTGCTTTTATTTATATTTTTATATATATATATATACACATATAAAACACAAATATTTGTGAAAAAAACACTCAATGGTTTTGTATTTTACCAAGGCAGCATGGTAGATAAGTTATTTTACATCTCTGGTATCAAATCATGCAAGTATTTTAAAAACTTAATATTATTTTCTATTTTTTCTCAATAATTTGGCGCTGGGATGCGATCAAAATACAAGTTGTGTAAGGAAATCCACTCAACTGCTTATGCAAGTTAACACAAATAAATATACAGGATATGGAGTTCCAGTTTGTTTCTTAAGAATGAGAAAAGAACTAAGGCAAGCACATTGGCAGTATTAACAATTTAATCCTCTAAAAGAAAAATATTCTGATTGGTTCATTGAGATCCAGACCGCATAGGCCAATCATTGTTATTCTTATTTGATTCCTTATGGTGTTAACACAAACAATGCGGTATCTCTTTACGGAAAACACCCAAATTATTAGTATTTTTTTTTAAATAAACCAAACCAATGAAAAAAACTAAAAAAAAACAACATTTTATTTTTTAGGCTCTTCATAGTGCCGTAGTCTAAGGCTTAAAAATGTAGTTGCTAAGGCTAAAGCGTAGGGGTAAAAAGGTCTGCATAAGTTTATTTTCTGAATTCAACTGTTTTTTATGTAATTCAATAAAAAATTTAGATGACATTTTCTTCCAATTTGAAATGCATTGTTACTCTTGCAAGGGATGCAAGACTAATCAAAAAAGGTGTTGGGGGTGCAGAACACAAAAGGTTGGGAAACCCTGCACAAGACAAGAAAGTTCATTTCCATGGTGCAGCAATTCTATGATGGAATGCAGGTTAGGGTCTAAGACAATGAATAGACGTCAGAATCATTCCCTATGACTAATGGGAAACATTGGAATCCGAATCAGATACCAAACTGATGGTTAACTTTAATAACTCAAGAATCTAAATGCAAAAGACAAGGTCTTGAAGGATATCATCAGGGCTTTTCTGTATGACTGTGCCCAAAATGTTGGATCAGATTCTGATATGCAAAGCAGTGTTGCAAACTTCTCCCATTCCTGCAAAAACTTCAGTCTTATCACAAAGGTTCTTCACCAATTAGCTCTTGGAAAACTTTATGCTGAGCCTTACATTTAATGGCAAAATGCATAAACTTAAATTGGTAAACAGACCTTGACAGCTCACAGTTCCAAAGGGTCATAATGAATTAGATTAACCTTCAAACTGCTAGAGCCAGGGAAACCTTGTATGACCAGCAACCAAACTTAACTAAAAGTCTAAAGGGCAGCCATGCTCCCTATGTTACTCTAACCATCCAAAATGTGGAAATCTACCGATGCCATGCAAAACAGCTCATAAAAATCCTCAACAGCAAATGGCAGGAAAAGGTCCAGGACACGGAGGTACATGACCAGGCAGGTTTCCCCAGCTTTTATACTATTAACTATTATGCCATGTTAGTAGAATGTCAGACCTACAGCTGTCTACGATAATAGTTTATGATGAGCTTGAGCAAGGAAAGTGATATGTTGGTGTGGTGGTCAGAAGAAATGCTTGAATAACACCCTTAAAACCTCAATGAAGGCATTCTCTATGACCTGCACACATGGTAACAAACAATAATGATCCAGCCAATTGGCACTCCTTGGTACACAAAGGCTCCATTTAACTCAAAGCTAACAGAACAAAAAAAAAAAAAAAAAAAAAAAAAAAAAAAAAAAAAAAAAAACAGAGTTAAAATTGCTCCTGGATATGTCCCATCTATTCTTTACACCCATTTGCACCCTAATATACAGAACCAGCTCAAGCAGCAATCATACTAGATTGGTCCTAGTTCATGGACATATCTCTAATAAAACTGAGGAATAGGAAAGCAGAAAAAATAACCCCCACACCCCTTTCCACACACAAATTATTTGTTATCTGTAGATCAGAGACTAATGTTGTAACATGTTTACTTTACTGCTAGTGAAATTTTATGAGTTATAATTTATTCTGCAATATTCTCTTGAACAACAGTAATTTAAAAATCCACTCGGGCATATTATGCATGTGATATTGATAGCACTGATAATTTTGTATATATAACAAAAAAAACTCTAACACAAAATAGAAAATAGTGAGTTTGATGGATGTTTAAAGTAAACTATAAAAATTAACATTTTCATGTAATTTTTATGGTCTGAAAGACTGTTTAAACAATAATTAGACTTTAACAGTGAGTAACAAGGATGGCATGGATACTCGGATAGTTTTTGCACAATTCTTATGGACAGTAGTTTTTAATACTTTTAGCGGTAATTTAAGCTTTATTTTAATATATAACACTGGCCAACTCAGACTTGTTTCTATGTACAATTGACAAGAGGATAATGCAAATAACACCAGTTTTCCTCTATCAGCTCTAGTTTTTGAGATATTGAACATAGTTCGTTCTTAAGCATGCATAAAAGTATGCTACATGAATTGTTCTTATTTCATACAAAAAGCACAGATTCCATATTTTCTACACCAATGAAGCTCCTTTTGTAAGGCTTCTTAGGGAAGGAAACAGACAGAAAAATGCTGCATAAGCTTCCAACAAAAATGTTAAACAAATATTACACTTGAGATAAATTATTTGCTTTTTATTGAATGCATGAACCATCTTTATTCAAAGCCTTTACAAACTGTATGATTCTATAATTTCTATAGATACCAGAATTTTGTGTTACTTTAGCTTCTTTGATTACATTTTTTCCTCCAACCACCTCCTGTTTGGCTCCACTATTCCAAAAAATCACAAGAAGAAAGGATATCCTGTATAGTCAATTTGTTAACCAAGGAAAAAAAAAATTATCAAGTCTACATGAATCACATATTGATTTTTTTGGAAATTTATCTTTTGAAACATTTTAGAAATGTTCTTGAATTCTTCTTTCATCCTGGTTGTTATGGTGATGAACCATATTTGTTGCGATTATTTAAAAGAACATATTACAAACTCCTTTTTGAACTGTTATATTCTGAAATACCAATGCTCTTCAGAAGATTTCTGATGTCATTTCTTAATAAGTTTTTGTATTGGTAAAAAATGGCAAAAAATCCTCTTGGTCGATGAAGAGTAATGTTTCTTTTCCCCACTGAATTATATTCTTTTCCTTAAGTCTGGAGGGAAGGAATTCAGAAGAGTCCTTAATCAGATTGCTCAATTCATTCTGTTCAAAATGTTATCTCTGTGAAGTTGTTTAAAGATTCATATCACTGTCCCCAATTTCTTTATCTAGTGCGATATAAGACATGCTAGATTTATCCTCTGTAGTGGTCGTTCAATACAGATGTACTTTATAAACACATAAAATGTGGGTAATTTAAAAACATTCATCTCTCACTTTTTTAAAGAAATATTTCTATATCAAGATTTTGCACAAAAGATGTTATATTGAGCAGACAAAACTTTATATTAAAAACTAGAGCTGTTAGGGAAAATTTTATGAAATTTTTAGAATCAGTGCTCCAAATAATATTAGGAGCAGACATAAAAACTTAAGGCACCAAGAAAAAAGTACTTTTTTTTGTTGGCCAGGAAAACATATAGATGGTTTAAGGGAAAGAGAGACAGTTAGCAAAGAAGGTGGAAGAAAACTGCAGAAAGATAGCACAGTAGCAGCAAATGGACAGAAATGGAACCTGTCTGCACATCATGACTGAAATAATGAAATTTTCCTTCTTTTTACAAAGATTAAATCTTTCTTCTTCTTCTTCTAAATATTAAGCGCCCACGATCAATTTATTGACCATTTTGACTGATGCATGTAGAGGGGATTTGCAATGTTTCTGTGCCAGGTGTTGATGATGATAGTTCACTGGTTGCAAGGGCTTCTTTGTGAGGGTGTCATGCACTGGGGGTTGGAAGGCCTGAGGCAATAGACACAAATGTGTCATGTGTTGTCACCTCAACTGTTCCTTTTGAAAGCTTGTTCCAGTCCCTGATTATCTTTGGCAGGAATGAGCAGTTCCTACACTGCTTTTCGCTGGTATGAGCCGGAACTGCCTGTCATGGCCTCGTCGCTGTCTATGGGTGAGAGGGACGAGTTTCTATTTAATGCTGGAACAGTGGACCAGCCCATTGTACATGACTGAGAGCCTGGATAGTCGTCATCGTTCCTCCAATGGTGACCAGTCTAGTTTTTCCAGCATACTGCCAACACTAGAGGTATTCCTGTACCGGTTCAGGACAAAGTGTGCTACCTGTTGCTGGACCGCCTCCAACCTCTTGATGCTCTTCTGGGTAAATGGGTCCCAGACTGAAGATGCATAACTAAAACCGGACAGACAAAAGCTTTATAGGCTCTTTCTTTCACACTGGAGTTGCCGATCTTTAGATTACGCCTTAAGAACCACAGAGTCTTGTTTGCCTGGTTGCACACATTATTAATATGCTCGTCCCAGCGGACCTCTTTTTGAATGGTAACACCCAGGTACTTTACGGAGGAAACTGGCTTTAGTATATGGCCATGCAGTTCGTATTGGTAGTGTAGAGGAGTACAACTTCTAGAGACCGACAGTGTCTGGCACTTGGCAGGATGAAATTCCATGTCCCACCTGATCTCCCACTCAGCTAACCGACTGAGATCCTGTTGTAGCTGGTCCTGGTCAGATCTGTTGGCGATCGTCCTATACACCGCTCTGTCATCTGCAAACAGTCTTGCTTGTGATGTCAGTTTCTCGGGTAGGTCATTAATGTATGCTAGGAACAAACAGGGGCCCAGGACTGATCCCTGGGGGACCCCCGACTTCACATCGACAAAGGAGGAGCTTGTACCGTCCACCACTACTCCTTGGCATCGGTTGCTGAGTAAGCTAGAGATCCATGTTTTAGTAGTGCCTTGGATCCCGTATTTCTGGGGTTTGTGAATAAGCAAACTATGATTGACACTGTCAAATGCCTTTGAAAAGTCCATCACTAGCACGTCAGTTTGCGTGCTGTTCGCCAGATTGGTCATTAAGTCTTATACAAATTCAAGGAGCTGGGTCTCACATGATCTATTGACCCAGAAGCCATGTTGACAATCATTGAGTATATTTTGGCTTTCAAGATGCTTCATGACTGAGCTTACGATTATGTGCTCCAACAGTTTGCATACCACACTGCTGAGGGATATTGGACGATAGTTGGCAGGGTCGGAATGCTCCCCTGTCTTGTAGATTGGAGTGACATGCGCTGTTCTCCAGTCTGCTGGAACATTGCCTGTGCACAGCGACGATTGGAAGAGGATTGTCAGTGCAGAAGCTATTTCTTTGGCTAATTCTTCGAGAATTCGTGGTTTGATGTTGTCAGGACCACATGCTTTTGTAAGGGTTAATGGTTTTGAGGAGGGCAAGCACACTCTGTGCTGAAATCTGGATATCCTCCTTCACGGGGTAGGCTCTGCTCATCATGTTGGTCCTCAAAATGAAAATGAACTCAGCCTCCGAGTATTCTCTACCGTCACCAAAGACCGACTGGAACTGCTGATTGAGTATGTCAGCCTGTGCCTTTGGGTCAGAAGTCAAATAGCCATCCCACTGCAGGGGGAAACTCCAGCATTTGAGGACTTTTGGTGCTTCAAACAGCTCCAGAAGCACTTGTTCTTGACACCCTTGTTCGGAGTGTCTTCCTCTGAGAAGATGCCATTCAGGTAGTTCCAGTAAGATCTCCGCAGTAAGCGTTGGATGGTTCGGCGGAGCCTCAGTAACTCCTCTCAACAGAGCTATTTTCTTCAATCGCTTGTATTGGCTGTCTCTCCTGTGGATGAGCCTATGGATTTCAGCCGTAACCCATGGCTGATTTATCTTAGGTTTGGTGGTTTGTGTGGTATGTATTTCTTCACTGCATCAGTGATTGTTGTCTTAAACTTCACCCACAGCTCTTTTGTTGTCCCTTACCCTGAATCTTCAGCATGTTTGAGCTCAGCTCTGTCATTGCACTCCTCAGGCTATTACAGTCTGCCTTGGCATTAATTGGGATTTCTCGTATGATCTGTTTCTTTTTTAGTGTGTTGACCTGAAATTCACAATATGGTATGCAGTGGTCTGATATCCCGGGGATGACCTCAACTTTTGGGATGAGATGTGGACAGTTCCAGACCATGGTTGTTAATAATTTCCATGAATTCAGAGTGCAGGACAGGGTATGGGGACTTGGGCTTCAAGGAAGGAATTTGCCAGTTCCAACCAGGAAAGTTAAAAATCTCCCCCCCCCCCCCAGGAGAAAAGCGTTCTTCGACCGTGTTGCTCCCTGAATCGATACTTTGAGCCTCTTCAGGCTTGGTTCATCTGCTGTGTTGAGTCTGTCATTGGCACAAACCTAGAGTGTGCGTCTACCCTTCAGTTTCACTTTCACCCACAGGAGCTCGCAGTCATCAACATCTAGTTCTGGAACAGCGTGGCAGTCCAGGTTGTGATGGACAGAAACAAGTACTCCTCCTCCTCTGTCTTTTCTGTCTTTTAATTAAACAACCCCTAAAAACAAAGTTTTAAATACAAATCCTTTGTATCCATTTTAAAATTATTTTATGTTATTTTAATATTCTAATGTCACTCCCGCTTTTACACGGCAGATTTATGTCTCCAAATATTTCAGAAAAACAGAAGAAAATATTAGGCACCAAACACACTTGCGATATTTAAAAAAAAAAAAAATCACTTAGCGCAGTTATTGTGAATTTTATTTTGTGAAATCAGTGGCGTCATATCTTTCCCTTGAAAATGCTGATTGTTGGGGATAGGGGCTGAAAATTTGAAAGAATGTGATATCATTGGCAACAAGTCTATGTGCCATGTTTCAGCTCAATAGGTTGACGGGAAGTGGGTCAATTAGCTGTCCAAGGATTTTGCCACAAACCCAGCCAGAATGAAACAAACAAACAAAAGCGAAGTTAATTTAAAGGATTTAAAAAGTAATTTCCAGATATCCCTGTAAATTCTAATCCAATTTGTATGGCATTTGCTCCAATGTCACTGAACTGTAGATCATGTCATAGTCATATGCACCAAGTCCTGGCTTTAAATGTTAATTATACATTTAAGATTCACAATGTGCACGGATATATTTCTGATAAATTAAAATAAAGACCTAAGCATTTTAAGGGATTCTAAAATGCTAATAGTGGTTGTATTTACTTTGGTTTAAATATATGAATATGGAATATATAGCCTACATTTATCACTTACATGCAGTAATAGTATTTGCAAGCTGTTCCTGTGTGGCTTCTGAAACACTTTCCATTTTTTTCTTGACAATGTCAAGGGTAGTCTTGACCTAGCATTTATTAAACTATAAATATACAATCAAACAATAGGAATCATGTGATATGATATCATTACCCACCAAAACATAATGTATAAACTATGATTATGGTTGTTCCTCAATTTTTTAATTTTTTAGTTAATTGAACATTGTGCACAGTCAGTAACATATTAATTACAAACCTCATTATTTGAGTCACGGAAAGCATTTTTCATATGTTCTAAAAGATCTCTGGAAAATATAAAATTGTAGGCCTAGATTAAAACCCAATAAAGATAAAATATAAAGTTCATGATATAATTTAAAGCCTAATTTTTGTTTTATATCAATGCTTGGTCAAAATTATTAATGATATTCATTTGGTTATAATCACTCTCAATCTATCATTTTAATTTTAACAGATCATCAGTTATCTAAAACAAAAAATTAATACTTTGTGTCAAAATTATTCTATAGACTTAAAGCCTAAAACCGATATATCACAAAGATTGACTCTGCATAAAGTTTCAAAATACTTTTAAAAAGCCCTAATAATAATAATTTACCTGTCATGTTGGCCGACTTGCACTGCTTGGGCTTTGCTCATTGGCCCCCCAAGTGAGCCACTGAATGTATCTGCTAACATTGTAGGTCTGTTGGGATACCCACCATTTGAACTTTTGTAAGTTGCACTGCTTGCATCGCCCGCTAATTCTTTGCCGGATATATTTGATTTTGTTTCAAAACTGCTAGATGCTAGAGCCTCTCGCTTAAACAGTGATCTTTTGTTTAACCACTTTTCATACATGCTCATTTTCTTGTAACTTTGTTGCGACACCTAAACAAACATTTTCAAATTTCAAAGTTAATAAATATAATTTGAACATTTCATATAATCGCTATTAAAAAAATATATTTGAATTTGACTTATAAAGGGATTTAAATTATTATGAACTTTACTTGTATTTTTATGATCATTAAATTGTCAGACTTAGATAAAAGCAATTTAAAGTTCTTGCAAAAATTACAACTTAACTAGGTTATATTATTGAAACTAATTTATATTATTATTTATAATTAGCTTTTGAGCTCTCAAAATAAGTAAGGGGGAGGGGAAGAATCAAAATTAAATTATTCAGTTATTGCTGATTAAAAATGAAAAATAAGTCACCTCATTTTGGGGTCCTGAATTGTTTTGAGAAAAAACATCTTGGGTATTGATATGAGAGAAATCAGAGCATTGTGAATCTTGTTTGAAAGATGAGGTATTATAACTGCTAAGAGCTGAATCTTGGCTTGGCCACATTTCTCTATAATAATAGAGAATTTTCATACATTTTGTAAATCACTTTAAATGAAAAGTTGACTTTACAGAAAAGTTTTAAACATTTGTTCACATAAGACTTAACTACCTGGATGCAGCAGTGGCCTCAACTTGTTTGTTATTACGGGTAACCAATAATGATAACGTTTCCTTAAAAAAACTGGTGGCACAGAGTCACTTTTGAATGACATGTCCTCCATTGTACCAGGGCCTATGGAGCTCAAAGGGGCCCATAAATTAAAAAAATTGTTTTCAAAACCAAATTTTTAAAGAGAAAACAATAATTCTTATATACTTCATATTCTGTACTTTGTGTGTATAGCTAAACCGTCTTGCAGCCTTGTTTGACACTAACAGCCTGGTTATTAAAATTAAAGGTCATACTGGCTTTCTTAAAATAGTTTACAAAAATATAGATAACCAGGTTTTTCCCAAAAGTATTCTAGCATTTAGAAGTTTAAATGTTGAAAAACATTACAGAGATTGGCTTGTCTGGTATTAAGTTAAACAAGCATTAGCTTACCCTCTAAGGTTATGCTTGCATCAACAGAAAGATGGTCAGAAGCTAAAAATGGCAAAAATGAGAGAAGCAATAGTTACAGGCAGGCGTGAACTGGCAAAGGCATTGAAAGTCTATTGGAGGCATCAATGGAAACAGAATCTGTCAAGTGATGCAACATTATGAAATGAATAATTGATGTTGTACTATTCCTTGGTCTGTCAAGTGATGCAACATTATGAAATGAATAATTGATGTTGTACTATTCCTTGGTAAACGGGGACTTGCTTGAGTGGCAGTTCCCAGCGCATTAGTGAAAAAGAGAATGGAAATTTCCTGGGAGTCATAGAGTTGTTGTCTCATTGGGATCCAATTATAAAAGAACATGAGTTGCAAGAAAAAGGAAAATGACTTCAAGTATATTATCTCAGTGCTGATTACCAAAACGAGTTACTTGCTAAATGTTCCTCACTTGTAAAACAAAACATTGTGGAGGACAGGAAAATTGCAAAGTGCTTTGCTGTTACTGTTGATTCCACACTAGATTCATCCTCTATTGCAGGGATGGGTCTCCAAACTTTTCAGCCCAGGGCCACATTAACTATCAAACAGCAGTTCAAGGGCCAACTGCACACTCAAGGTCCAAATAAAAAAGAATCAAAACATGGATGTTGTTTTTAATGATTTATTTAATATTATTTTATTCAGTTATAATTTAATAACACATTGATATATTACAAATGAACACCTGTATTAGTGAGAATTGTGAAATTGTTTCATGGATGCCAAAATAGCAGACATTTCTGACTTCAGATTTGATGTCCCTAACATCAACAGTGACCTGAGATTATCATCGGACAAGTTTGTTCTCGAATTGTTCTTCACATATTTCATTCTTGAAAACGCTTGTTCACACTGGTATGTTGTTGAAGAGATTGAAAGGTACCTTGATGCAAAAGTTTTGACAGGAGGAAAGTTTTCCTTGGGCAAATAACTAGTAAAAACCCACCAGTCCTTGGAACTTGTCACTAAGGAGGTCATTTGCTTGCAACTCAATGACCTCCAGCTGCTGTTTATCTGGGCAACTGGCCACATCTGCGTCAAATGGGTTTTGAAACAGTCTCATATCTTCTGCCTTTGAATCCAAGTCAGAAAACTGCTGCTGAAACTGCAGCTGGAGGTCTTCGATGATCTTGCACGCAAATGACATGGGGAACTCCGCTGAGCTTCAGCCATGAAGACCTTGCACTGTTGAAAGTGCGTCAAGTTGTTGGCCTGTACTTGTTCCAAAAAGAAGACGAGTTTGGATCTGAAGGCCTTTAGGTGAGTGTATAGATCAGAAACTATATTTTCCTCTCCTTGTAATTTTAGGTTCAGAAAATTTAAATGACTAGTTATGTCTGCAGCAAAGGCCAATTTCCATACCCACTCTTCATCAGGCAGTAATGGTTGTGGCTTGCCTTTACTTTCCAGGAAGTCAACTATTGCCTTTCTTAACTTAAATACTCTGCTCAGGACTTTCTCACAACTTAGTAATCTTTTTTTTCCTTACTACTGTGTAATATGCTAAATCTTGTGATTCTGTGTCTGTATTTTTCAACAAGTCTCTGGACTGTATGGTAGAGCCCATTTGACCTTATTAAATTAACCATCGTTACCACAGGATTCAGTGTGCCTCTATTTTAATTTGGTAAAAACATAAAATCCCGGTAAGCGGCGGCTGATCTTGGCAGGATACATGTAAATTTCTATAATTTTTTTCCGTAGACAAAAGGTCTCCATGGACCGGATGAGAGGGCCTCGCGGGCTTCATCTGGCCTGCGGGCTGTAGTTTGGAGACCCTTGCTCTATTGAAAAAACAACATCTCTTTTGCATTTTTGATGCCACATGAAAACCAGTATGAAATTGTAGAATGATTTTTACAGTTTGTCGACACAAGCCATAAAACAAGGTATGAAATAGCACAGATGTTAGTAAAAATATTGAAAGAACCTGATATTCCACTGTCGGTTGTCGTGCACAGGGATATGACAAAGCAGCCAACATAGCAGGAAAATATAGAGGTGCCCAAGCAAGAATACTGGAGCAAAGAGAAGCAGCTTTATTTTTACCACGTGGATGCCACAAACTTAATTTGTATGGAAATGATACTGCAGAATGCATTCCTGTGCAAACTGTTTACAAATTGTTTAGTGTTAGTACCCAGGGATAAGAAATCTTGCAGAAGTTTATGGCTATTCTCTTCACAGCATGATGGTCAAACCGTGTTAAAAGTATATAGCCCACCTGATAGGCATCAAATTAGCAGTTGAAAACCTCTTGGAGTTGAACACCTAACTGCCAAAACAAGAACAGAGATAAATGAAGCTTTTTCTTATGTCAAATTTTTCATTTATGTGATAATTTCTTTAGTATGGTATAGAGAGTTAGTTCCAGTTGACACCTGTAACAATATTCAGTCGAGAAATGCAATGGTTTAGTCGAAGTGTCTAACTTAAAAAGCTTGATTTTAGAACTGACAAACCTTCGGCATACCTAGTAAAGTATGTGAAGTGAAGCTAAGGAAGTTTCTTCTAATTTGTGTAAATAAGTGAAACTCTCTGGAACTTTTGGTGAAGCAAAATGCAAAAGAAAGAAATTCAATGACGAAGGTGGTACAAGAGAAGCAGATTTGTCTAAAGAAGACGAAATGGATGAATCCCCTGAGGAAGCATACTTCGGAAAGTCCTCTATGTAATATTGGATAATGTTATTGGTGGTCTCACCGTTTGTTTCAGTGCTGCAAAGAAAATTTTCTGAAGTTCAGCTACCTCTGGCTATCAATTCCTCAAGATGAACTTAAAGACAAAGATTTGGCAAGACTTAGTATTAAGCCTGATCTTGCAAAAAACTATTGATTTTGATGATGTGAGTGAAAATTTTGCCGGGAAAAAGGCTATAAAAGCACCTTTGTTTAGAAGAATATTAATCCCATTTCATCTCAACTATAACTATTATAAGCTTGTAATCAATACATTACTTATGTATATTGTTTCATTCATGTTTATATACTACTGTGTTGTATGGCTTTTTATAATCTTTTACATAATTACCTGTACTCTTTTTAATATGTTTGCAAGGATGTTTGAATGTAATTAATAAAATATGAGGCACTCCTTAGAACGGCGGTCCCAAATTAAAAATTGAATACATTTTCATTAGAAAATGTCCGGCTACCAGCCTAATATCCGCCAATAATTGGGGACATCATTTTTTACTTCAAATTTTGTTTGCAGACTAATTATTGCTTGTAATAATATATAATAAACAATACCATATTTCAAATAATGTTTTGTCAGGAAAAATTCTAAAAACTTATGGTTAGTGTGGCTTGCTGAAAAACCTCTAACACCAATAAGCAATTCAACAGAGGCAATTTAAAAAAAAAATCTCTCTTGCATTTTTCTTCTTCTTTAAACAAACAAAAATATTGTTATTTCTTTCAGGAGATGATAATGATCAAGATGCTGATGAAGATCTTCATAAAAAATAAAATAAATTTAAATAGAGCATTAGACATAAACAAATATGTCACAGGTTATTAGGTTGGTAGCCTGACATTTTCTAACGAAAAGTATTCTATTTTTACCTTGGGACCACCATTCTGAGGAGGGCCAAATATGATATTATTGATTTATTGTCCATGTGTAGGTGAGAGGGCCTCTTTTTAATCTTGTTCCAGCACTTAATAATTCTCTCTGTGGTCATGCATGTATACCTACTTCTTTTACACTTAGTTAAGCCACGTTAACTGACAACATTTTGGCGTATAGGTATTAAATTAACTTTGCAGTTGCAAATATGAGTGAATACAGTCAATTCTGATAGTGATGGTTGATGTGGATAGTAATGTTGCATTTTAATTGTTGATACATTGAATTGAATATAATTGATAGCCTATACTAATAACTGGTGAAGAATGAAGTATGAAGATGAAGAACTCATCCTACCTGTGCCTGTACCACTGGGAATTTCATGTAGTTTCTGAGTTCATAATCAATAATCATACCTAGGCCTAGACACAAGACAAAGTAACATTTACATATGAATGTGATATATCATATTCATATAAATATAAAATACATACAATAATACAAGTCAACAAGTACACGTGACAAGTGTCAGTGTCACAAGGCTGAGAATTATAATGGAAGATACATTTTGTAGCTAATCCATACGTGAAACCTTAAAAGTCAACAGAACTCTAATGTAGCAAGCACTGTAATTAAAAAATACAATAGTTAGTACAGTCAACGGAGTTTGCTTTCAACTTGAACATACCAATATATGATATTATGCCAATAATAACCAATAATTTAATAATCCAATATCTCCGCTGAATTGTCAGTGGACTATTCATAAATGATCTTGCGCTAAGGCTAAAACGAAAAAGATTAGCCCTAAGTCCCTAATACTAATTGAATACGATCTATTTACCTAAGTTGAAGTGATTCAGAGATTGCTTTTAAAATGAAAAAACGTGGTGGAATATTTTCTTCTTAAAATACTGTTGTTAATACACAGCCGGGGGAATTAAGACTACACATGGTACACACCATGCATTGTAATTTTAAAAACTGTAGCAGACGAAATTATATAAGACTTATGTCAGATTTTTTAAAGAAAGCAGTTTAAAGCTTTTTAGCGGTTGTTAATTGTTAAATATTCATAGATTTTATATCAATTTAATATTTTATAATTCCCCTCAAAATTTAATTAATTTATTTTATAAACTCTGTCAATTAATTTAAACATAAATGAAAAAAATAAATAAAACGTGTGTAAGACTTTTGACAATATAGTTGTAAAAAAAAATCCTGCAGAAAATGTGATATGATAAAATAATGTTACAAAATAGGCTCATGCCTCATGGGCATTGTGACAGAGTCATAGATACCGGGTAGCCCACTTAGTTTTAGGGAACAATCTACCAAATCTCTTCCGTTTGAAAAAGGACCCCCACCCCCCAGCCAAAAGAAATTCTACATTGTCCCGACCAGATCCTTTAGGGGTCGTCCATTAATTAGGTCAACAATTATAAAGCAATTCCCCCCCNTTTCTAGACCCCACCCCCCCCCCCCCCCCCCCAAAAAAAAAAGGAATTATATTATAAATACATTTTAAAAAACAGTTTACTTTTGCTGATCTATTTTAATGACACGAAAATTGTAGGAAAAACATTTCATTACATCTTTAGCTTGTTCATCAACAAGTTAAAAAGTTTTTACACTTAAATTTTTTATAATGTAGAATCAATTGAAAGGTTTGTCAAAGACTAAATATCATTGTTTGTGGTATAAATATGATTATTGTCAGTAAAGCTGAGAAATTTAGTATAGTTTCTAGCTGCTATCATCTTCCCAAGGAGTAGCCAGGTTTGCTCTATCGTAACAAAGGGACATCATTTGGGTAGGGCTGATTTTGCTGGTTTTATTTAAATTGCTATGTACTGTGGCGCCTCCAGTAATAAATAACTTAACAAGCCGACCAAGTTTTGGTTTTGCCCACCTCCTCCCTTCCCCTGAAAAAAAACACCTCAAATCACGCCCCTGATAGGCATAGTGTACAGTAGTTGATTAATCATTTTCATCTTGTGGAACTAATACACCAGACAAGTCAAAATCATCCTTATCTAACCATTCAGCACTTAAAATAGAAGCATTGTCAGTGTGAGCAATAATTGCCATAAGCTCTCTCTATCTCCTTGCAGCTACTCGCATTGTTAAAAATCCATTTTTGTTGACGAGCAGGTGCTAATTTCTTATGCTCAAGAGGGCATTGTCGGTTCTGTTGAACGTGCTTTTTCAACATTATTATTAGTAGTAGTAGTAGTTTAATATAGCGCGTACCCCAGCCTAGGACTGGGCTCACCACGCTGTACTGTACATACAATTTAACAAACATAATCATGAACTTCAAAAATTAACATACATTAATTAAATAAAACAAAACATATGTATATTTAATCCACCCATTCCATAACTATTTACATGTCAAGCCATGGGCGGCACCCGGCAGCATCGTTAATCAGTCAAAGTGGGGAAACATTCAGGATAGTAGAGTTTTGAAGGCGGTGATGGTCGGTATATTGCGGATTTGTAGTGGAAGAGAATCCCATTGTTTGGGTGCACAGAAAGAGAAAGATCGTTCACCGTATGTGTTTGTGCGAGTCTTGGGGACAGAAAGAATACGCGTGTCGGCGGAGGAGCGAAGCTATCGAAGGGGTGAATAGACAGAGAGAAGTTCGGTTAGATGGGAAGGGCAGGAATTCGAGAAAAAGTTGTGGTAGAGAACAGACAGTTGTGATGCAAAATAGATGTTACAGATTTTGCAAATCCGTTCAAGCAGTGATTTTATTATTGTTACTCATTTTACATTCACCCAATTCTCAAAATATCGCATTCCTACTCTATCTATATCATTTATCTTGACTGCACATGACACTTGAACCTTGTCCTTGTTCCATACATGCAACAGAGTCTACAGGTGAAGAGAGGCCAACGTTTGACTTCTCTTGAAATAACAAAGTGTGCTAACATTCTGACCAGCCATCTGCATTGCGCAAACACACATTAAATAAATCTTATATTGTTAAAAGCCTAAAAATTATATGACTATTTACACTCATACATTTTTTAAATAATGTAATAACCAGTCAATTTTTAAGATTAAAATTTTAATAACGAAGACATGTTTGTTGACGTCAACTAATCTAAACCCCTCCCTCCCCCTCGTCAACAACTGTGAAACATTTCCACCCCCCCCCCATTTTGTTGACGTAATTAATGGACGCCCCCTTACCCTGTAACGCCTATTCCATGTCCCTAACCGCCTAACCACTTATTAACACCTATCAAGTTTGGCTTTTTCTATCTTTAATACTTAATTATACTAACACTTTGAAATATAATAGTTTATTTTTAAACACAATCTTTATAATCTTTGAACCAATTATTTTTTAAAATTCAAATATAAACTACTACACTACACCATATATATGTTCTTTACAAAATAATACTGACAAATGTGTAAATATTTTGTGTTTATTTCTTCTGCGTATACACCCTGCTGCGCCCTGTTGGGGGGGGGGGTTCCGGCACTGGAGCTACCTCATTGTTCCTTCAAGGCACATTTTCCGACATCCGACAAAATCTGGTTCGACTACCTATAGCATACATTAAAATTTGGTTCTAATTCTATTCATGGTTTATGATTATGTGGGTAAATAGTAATACCAACACAAGCGCCCTCTTTATTGTGTGTCCCTTAGATACGCAGCCAGAATTTGTTTATCTTTGCGGGCTTTCCATTCAATCCCTTGGTTACGTCTAACGAGTCAGTGAAAGGGCCAAACTTTCTCACGAACTGTATTTCTGTTTCTTGAATATGGCATTAAAAAGAACTATTGAAAGCTAAAACAATGGCGAAAGTGACTACTCATGCGGTTGGAAGCTGGGTAATACTAAATTCAATACAAATTATTATAATAAATTATATCATTAGTCATTAGTATTAGTTAGTAATTGGAGAATTAGAATTAGACTTAGTCTAGATATAAATTCTAAATCATTTAAATGCCTAAACTAAATGAAAGTAAATTAAATCAAAACTAGTCTATACTTTCTATAGACTTTACTTCAAAGTTTACTTTTAGAAGTACAGTTCTAATGATTAATAGGGCTAATAGGCTTAATAGGGCGTAGGGCGTAGACAGACAGAATAGTTAAAAGTATGCTGCCCCGCCAAGCCAAAGTCTGCTCATTGTTTATTGGCAATGTTTGTAGTAACACTCAATGTTATATACACTATACACATTTTCTTTTCTTATCTAAATTATAATAGTATGAATTTTTATTGGGTGCATAGAATAAGAACTTATAATTTAAGACTATAAAATTATAAAATAGATATAATATCATACATAATATGACAATATTTAAAATCTGCATTTTTTAAAATTAAAATAATTAGTAATTAGTATTAGTACTATTAGACTTAAAATGAAGAAACACCAAAACAGATATATTTCGGAATTTTCCTGGTAATTTTGAGTGAATTAAAAAAATCATAATCACATTTGGGTATGACACTTATCACTTATGTAAATGTAATTACAATTGCAATAAGTCAAAAAGCACAGAATAAACATTTACCAAAAGGCAAGGGGTCAAATAAATTAAAAAAAAAAACATTGAAAATAAACACAAATTTGTTGGTTATGAATTAGAAATAAAAAAGTTTAAAAACTATATAAAATATGGTGCTACGCTACCCCTTGGCAGCAGTGATCCCTGTAGTCTCACAAGCTCAGTAAAAAAATTTCTGCAGCCTTGACGCTTATGTAGTGGGCTGCTTTTAAAAAAAAATTAAACTTATTATAACAATGATAAATTTAATTTTAGTAAATAATGTACATTTTTTAGAAGACATTTAATAAAATTAGATTTTGCATCTCAACTATGCAAGTTTTACAGCAACCACAATGACTAAATGATAAAACTGCATAAAGCTTTCAAATGCTCATTAATGGACTTAATAATTAAAATGTTAAAATTACTAAAATATATTTTTTTGTTTTCAGTTTCCAACAGGATACTATGGTCATTATCGTAGTAGGACACGCACAGATTTTGTAAATGAATACAGGCAGCTTGCAAAACCTCAGCCACCACAGCGATTTATTTTTCGAGCATCAGTAAGTGTAAAACTGAATATCAATAAATTTTTCAAAACAATTTTACATTTTTTAAATGTTCATTTTATTGCATTCAACACATCAACTTCAGTTAAGTGTTTTACCATTATTTGCAGACATTGCTAATACTTGCTAATACCTTAATTCTTGCCTTAAAAAAACAACATACAATTACTCTTTTAAGTTAATTTCATCTTAGTAGGACTATTACAGCCTTAATCATTTACTGAGTTAACTGTTATAATATTTGTCATATTTAGGACAATATTTGCCTGTTCAATACAACTTGTAAGACAAGATGAATTTATGAGAATTTTAAAGTATTTTGTGTGAAGAATATGTACCACCATGACCAAGTTTAAAATTTTAACAAATGAACATAGCTTTAAATTTAATAATTTCATAAATCTTACTAAATGAGAAGTTAACCAATATTTTTGTTATAAACTACCCATAATAGATTTATTGAATATGATTTACATGTAATTTTATTTCTATCACACAGCAACCAGCAAGTTCACATTTGTTTTCTCTACATGATAACAGAAATTCTGCAATCACAGATGCATCATATTTTGCACAAGTAAGTCAACAGCTGAAAAGTACTTGTTAAGAATATCTTAATGCCTTTTATATAGATTTCCGCAGAACATTTAAGTAAAAATATGTGACATGGTTTTAAATAAAATGACAGTTTTATTACAAGACCAGGAACATTTTCTTTAATGATGACTCTGCCCCGGTCACCTCAAACATGAAATATCTAAAAGAACTTGAAAAAAACCTTATTAAAGCAGCATCATTACCCTAATTTGAAAAAAAAATGTATCTATTAGAGGCTAAGGTTTTTACTACAACACACAAGGTTTTTCCATCCACCTCATGAAACAGAATTGCTCTAATGATGGAGGAATTTGAGGACACTTGTTTTAACTTTCTTTAACATAGATATTGACTAAGGATGTTGCCTTTGCCATTTAAGTGAAACACATACATGTTATTGTGATTTAAAAAAAAAAACATTTATGGGCCTAGGCAGCTGATTAACAACTCTATTTGATAGATCAGCCAAGCAAGTTGCAAAGCACCAAAAATTTAAATTGGGATTAAGAAGCTCCAAAAAATATTTCCTTCCAAGAATTAAATGGGATCTCTTGGTTAATGTTACATCTAAAAATAATATTCCAAAGGATTGACAGGTTAAAATGTTCATTAACAGTAATTACATACAGTAGGATAGTAGCCAAGTAATTTACATGGAACTATTTGTTTTGGAAATATTTGAGAGGGTATAGCACTAACATTAATTGCACTTAACCTTACTGTTGTACTACCTCACTTCTTTAAGTACCAGTGGAATCAATCTTCTTTAACAGTTGATAATTTGATAATGAGTTATATTTTGTCTACCCAGGGATTAGGGAGAAAAAGACATCCTGAGAAATCTGGTCAGTTTGATCCTTCACTTATAGCCTGGTGTAAAAATAATGGCAATAATGTTGGCAGACCTCTGACCTCAACATATAGGCAGGATTTTAGACTGGAGGAGCCCTTAGTTCAAAAGTTAGTCAAACGCCCAAAAACATCTTTTGATGGTCCATTGACCACAACCTACCGTACAGTCCATGGAACTGATGCACCTAACCGTGACTTGATCAATGCAATGAACAATGAGGCTTTGATGCTCACAACACACCACAGGCAGTGCCAGGCTAAGCAGAAAGTTTCAGGTCGTCGTGAAACAGTGGCATCTTGTCTGTCATGGTATCATCCTCGAGTTCCAACAGCAACCAATCATTCAGTGTACACTGATATTGAAATCAGGCCCATACAAAATATGAACAACTCCACTGATGTGGAGTCTCAGGCACTTTGTCCTTCATCTGATCCAGCACCCACTTGCTGTGAATGATACAATATAAAAAAGATAAGAGGTGGAAACATAAGATTTCTTTTATCTTTCTTTAAACAAGCCTTAAAAGCCATTGCAGCATTTTAAAACATCTGATCTTAATTTAAAAATGAAAAATATATATTTAAGCATCAATTCTCTAGTAAAATTGTTTCTTAAAAAAGTACAATTAATCTTTCAATGCATTTTAAAGCTGACAAAATTTAAACTTACTACTATGTGAAAATAGATATACTTGAAAATTTTTTTTCTTTTTAATTAAACCAATGTGAAATGAAAAGAACTATAATATGTTTGACTTTGTTGCACCCTTTAATGAATTAAAAAAAGCAACAACAAAAAAAAAAAAAAAAAAAAAAAAAAAAAAAAAAAAAAAAAAAAAAAAAAAAAAAAAAAAAATAAATAAAAAAAAAAAAAAAAAAAAAAAAAACCAAAAAAAAAACCAAAGTAAACTTTAATATTTATTTTATTAATAATTGAAAATATAAATCTAATGCAGGTTATGTCTCAGTGGTAGTAGTACAATAATTACTTCAGTATAATCAGATACAATCAAACTATTATTAAACATGCCATCTTGGCCATTTTCCAAAGTGTAGGTTAAACAGTGTTGATTACATTTTTGGTTACCGGTATCTGCAAAAAATTGTTTCCCTGGCTGATGAGTCATGGCTATACTATTATAAGAAAGTTACAGGGTTAACTTCTAAATATGACCATTTACATGATAAAAGTGCATCATCTAACATTAACTTCTATTTTTTTAAAGTTAATTGTCTTTAATTAAATAAAACTTAGTTTTGGTTATTTACCCCCCTTAAGACATAAACATTTCAACCAGTTATAGATTTACCATTGCATGGATACATGGGCGCCCGCACGTAGTGGCAAAGTGGGGCACTTGCCCCCCCCCTGGATTGATTGGATAAAAAATTTTTAGACAAAAATTTTATTAAAGTAAAGAGAAAATAAAGAGAAAGTAACTAAGCTGATGTCCTGTCCGTTCGTTCACCATACAAATACGCTACAGTAAATTAAAACTATATTAAAACATTACTAAAAATT